GTTAAGTAATTTGAACAAAGAATAAGTTTTCGAATTATATTTATTTGGAGTGTGATATGTTGAAATGGATTAATGGCGAACAATTTTGACGCTGGTGCATGGCGCTGACGCATCGCAGCTCAAGTATTGTTTATCAACAAAAAGGAAAGTAAAACGAATGGTGGGAACCCTAGGTTTGCCAATTAGAGGATCAGTTTGAATTATTTTGTTTTAAATTCAAAGTTTTTAATTATTTCAATGAACTCGCTGCGAATGCGATGGCGAGTGTGTCCGTAAGGGAAACACCAAACGAATTTGCCATATTTCCATCAACAAAAACAGGGTGGCTACTTACATTCAGGAGCAAATTTCCCTGACTACTTCCATTTTCCAATTGATTAACCTATATACTGATAAAACTTGCATTTCAAACTAAAAAAAATATTAAAGACAGCCCGACACTACTTGGACAGTACAGACTCACCACAAATTAACGATATTTCCTCATCAAATAAAAATATATTGAGCAAAGAATAAAACTGTATTACTTTTTTTTAATAAATAATATCTGGCTTTATAACCCTCTCAGAATTTTCCCGCCTTCTGACGATTCTTCTACATTCCCAATCTATTCCTGATTCCATTTTTAATTCCCTGATTTCCCATGACGTTTCCAAAGGAATGAAACTTCCTTAATTTTTTTTTCGTTTCCCAGAATGTGGCCACTCCGAAAGACGCGACAGTTGAAGCTGGCAGTGCGGGTGTGGCGCGGCCGCATCACTCGTTACACGCTCCTGCGGCCCAAAGTCCGCAGCGGCTACGCGTGCGCGCGCGATACCGCGCGGCAGGCGTGCGCATTCCAAGCAAGGCCGCGCCATGGGAACACCGTGTCCTCATCTTCCCAGAGGGCCGCGCGCAGCCGTGGCGACGCCGCGGGGCGAGGCGGGGCGAGGCGGGGCGGGGCGTGGAGACGACCCTGCGGGGTGCGTGAGCCGCATGCGCAAATGACGCAACGACGCCTGGCGGAAGGGTGGTGGCGCCGCCCGTCGACGCCAACTGCGCCTGCAGGCCACGGCTCGACACAAACGCTTCTCCGCTCGCGCGAGCTCTTCGCGCGGGAAACAGGACACCGGATGGTATCCCTAACTTCCGCACACGTAGGCGCACTATCATTCATTACCATCATCGCCATCGCACCGTACCTCCCATGGGTACTGACGAGAAAGCGTTCCTTAAACAATTGCACACGCATTCTTTTACCACCTTCAGTGCTTTTTCCATAGAGTCAGTGGCGATGGGCGAGTTAAATTAAAGGATGTTGCAAAAACAATGGTCGTAGGGGGAGCGGGGAGTCGTCCTCTTCAATCTTTCCCAATTGAGTAATGGGGACAATTATTAAAATTGTTTAAGAACATTTCATGTTATATTCAAATATATTTTAAACTATTTGGATTCCTATCGGATAATTTTGTGCTACTGTAAAAACTTAAAACCACTAATAAAGAACGAAGGATACGAAAAATTCTCCATTTTCAAAGAAACTGATTATATATGTTTCTCGAATGCGGCACCCCGTGTGACATCACGTCATGAGCGCGCCGCCGCTCCGAAATCGGTGACGTGACGCTGAGGTCAGCGTCACATCCGTTGCCGGTTTTTTTTTATACAACGTTCAGCACGTCTATTTAAGTGCTGTACTGAGTTCGGGCACTAGCCCCCTGGGAGAATGACGGGATCATTCACCTTGGCGCAGCCCCGTGTGTTTCAGGGAACAGGGAGAGCGCGAGCTATTCCCGTTGGGGGTTTCCGATTTTTCTTTCAATGCTGATTAACGAAACATCTTCTTCCTTTACCGCGAAGAACTAAAAAGGATTTATTCGAGTTGGACATGGCAGCGGTTCACTTTCAAACAGACTGTAAGACTTGTTTCGTCGTTGTAAGAACAATAACGCAACAAAATCATAATCTAGACCCGACCGATGAGGTCATTAGATGTCGCCCTGTAATACTTACATGTGGGTTTTGACGAAGGGTAGAGTTCCCCAAAAAAATCTATACAGATTCAAAAATGTATATGAAGAGAAATGTCAATAAGAGATGAAAAAGAATGACATAAACAGGCATCAAAACACGATTTAGAGGAGCTAGACGTGTGAATAAGTACGTGGAGACCTGCACAGTAATTTCATGCAAAATAGAGGGCCCGGTCGTTCTAGAGCACTAAGCGCCTCGACAGCACTTTTCAAGTAAGCGGCAACCGCGAGTTCTGGGGTCTCAAACCGGCGTCCTCTGATGGGGTTTTTCGATCACAGAAACAAAAAAAGTTGCAGAGAGCCAGGCCTGGATTGCTGAGTGACGCCCCAGAACTACTTAGGCAGAGTTCACGAATAAAAATGCTTCGGTTGATTGAACTGTGTGAGCAGGAGCGTTGTCACGATGGAAGAAGCCACACAAACATCTCCTTGGTCTTCTCATCTGCATGCTTTCGAAGATTTTAAGGAGACAAACGGCTGTATATACGCATCTGTCGCAAACGCTATACACATGTATATTTGCATATGGTTACATTACGAAGTATGGCATGTATTTAGCACTGAAATCATTTGGGGCTGAGGAAAATAGTACTTCCACATCTGACCATCCATACCTTAAAGAGACAATAATGACTTTTTTAATGCCAAGTACAAAATCATTTTAAAAAATTACCTAGAATTTAAGCACATATATTATGTAGTACTACCTTTCATTATTTTATATTTGATACTTTTTTTGGCAAAATATAATGTTTTAATATATCAAAAATTATTTTTCTTCATTATAAAAATGATGTTTACAATACTAGTGTTTTGTACTTAAATTGTAATATGTCTTCTAAATTTCTAATTACATTTCGGTAAACCAACATTATCAATCCTTATACGGGGCCGGAATAATGAGATCCTCTACTGTATTTTGACTTTTTTCTAGCTTGAAAATCACTTATGATTTTAAATATACTTTGAAAATTAACAACAACCACTTTTAATATGCAAACCTGGTTTAAAAGGCATAGGATGCATTGTTTCTGCATTATGCAAGTATGTTGAAATAATTTTTTTCCTGGTTTCTAAAATGTTTAGGCGATTTTTCTTCTTCAAAACCTTTCAATACAGAATGAATTGAAGTAAAAACATATATCTCACTAATTCCTATTATTGCTGATATAAAATTATCCATATTTCTACTTCTCAACTTGAAGCAAAACATGTGATAAAATTATCCACATTTCTGCTTCTAAATTTGAAGCAACACACGTGAAAAATTAATAACCAATAAAAATATAAAATAAACACTAAAATAAATATACAGAACTTTCTTGCAATCATTTACAAACTATATTTAAAGTCTTAAGTGGTTTTATTGGTCAAAAAATTTTAAAAAAAGAGGTAAAAATAGATATCATTTTTTTAAATATGACCAGTCGTTTGAAAGAATCAGATACAAACTATAACAACCGGTGTTTGGTGTTGTTGTTTTTCAGGCCTGTTCATGTGTTCAAAGACGCAGTACAATTACTTTTTGTTATTTTTTTCAAAACCTTTTTTGTTTGTATTTGCTGTGAAGAAAATACCAAAACAATATTTTGGTAGTATAAATTAGTTTCATATTTTTCAATTAGAAAACTAATGTTAAATTGATGGGAAAAAACAACATCATCAACAACACTTATTGGGTCTAAAGAGTGGGGGTGGTGGGAGGGGGACTCTGAAACCTTTCAAAAATCTAATTTCTATACCAGAGTTATGGTTATAACTATTGGCAAATCATTTGATTTTAAGAAACTTTTTACCAACTCATCCATGGGTACCCTTTTGAAACTCTAGTTTTCTTTTTGTGGTTGGTAGATGCTTCATCCCACATCTTGCATACATAAAGAAACCAGAATCTTAAAAATACTACATTAAATAGCCAAAACTTTGCACCATTTCCTTCCAAACTTAAGCTTTAAACAGCATTTTAAGACAACCAGACTGGATTCTTCCATGTCGTGATAACACGACAGCGAAACCATAGGAATTTTTCATGTAATGTAATTTCTAACACTAAGATTCTTGGAGTAGGATTATACTCGAGAATTTCACTTATCAACATTGAGCTTTGTATCCTCTGAGGAAAAAATTCCTAGCAAACTGGGTGCATTTTGATTCAGATCTCAATAGTGGGACCAGTTTACATAAGTATGATTCCACCCAAAAATTCAGTTTTAGACTTAAGTATCACTAAACCACAAGGTAAAGTCATCAGCAAAAACACTGAAGTTTCCAGAAACGTTCAAGTCTTTCCCCAAGTTACAAGTAAAAATATTGTTTAGTGCAGGATTTAGATATGAGCCTTGTGTTACACCATATTAAATATACTGCAAATGGAGGGACAATAACAAAGTGGCGCTTTGGAGGAACTTCCCAATTTATAAAAGCTTTCATGGCCAGCATTTATAAATAAGCTGATAAACAAGGTCCAGTTGAATTCATTGTTTCAGACATTCACTGTTTCATGAAAGATAAACATTAGATGTTTATAAGAAAGGAAAATTAAATATTTTCAAGGTATGAACTCCTTGTACTTATGAATCCTGAATATGCAATTGATGTTTCAGAAGGTAATTGCAACACTCTGTGTATTCACATTAAAAAACAATTGTAAGATGTTGGCACTTATTAACATGGTTTTCACTTAGCTCACACAGTCTCAGGCATAATAATTCCCACTTTGTTTTCTCTGTACTATTTACTCTGCTTTGTTTACTCCGTACAGGTGGGGATAAATTAATACATTAGCAGAGGATTAAAATTAAAATATCTAAAAGATTAGATTCAAGCTGAGTGAATGAAGAAATTTTATAGGCATAGGTTTCAAATGTTTTCAATATGAATGAAGCAATGAAAGTTCAAGTTTTCAAACCTCAAATATTTTACAGTTTGAGAGATGGTGAATTTGAGAATTTGAATTATCCAACTTAATTAAAATACAAGATTACTTACAGTATCAGCAGCAGTCAAATTTATACCAAGTCCTCCTGCTCTTGTGCTCAACAAAAATACGAAAATGTCTTCCCTAAGAAAACAAAGACCAGAAATTATGACAGAATGTCACTGTAAAAATTTAAAATAATATAAAATAAATGTAGCACAAATATTCTGAACATTCACCTTGATTGAAAGTCTGCCACCATGTCTCTTCGCTCTGATATTTTTGAAGAACCATCTAATCTCATATATGTGTGTTTTCGATGCCACATGTATTCCTGTGTAAAACAAAAAGGAATTTAAAGAAATGGGAAGAAAAAAATTTCAAAAGCTAATTTCTTAGTTCCATGCAGAAATCAGAACAAACACGAATTTTCAGAATATAAAAATGACATAAGTAACCACTTGAAGAGCACAGAAATGAAGATGACAAATGATGTATTGATTTGATGCATTATTGTTTCTAGAGAATAATAATGTTACATCATGTTACAACTAGTATTTTTATGTATTTTAAATTAAAGGTGAAATACAAGTCAACAGGGTAGAGGAATTGATTCATTAAAACATATGAACTAGAGATAAGGAAGGTAGAATAATTTGATGGTGTTCAGGTAAAGCGAGTTCGTATGTCATATTTGAAGCGAGAGGAAAAAAACACACACAGACACACGCTCACACACAACCGCACACACAAGCTCACACACACCACCACACACACACACAAAACAACATGAGACATAATATTTTATGAAAAAATTTTAGAACACAGAATACTTCAAAAATATTTAAATCACCCTAGCATATGTTTGTTATGCGTAACTCCGTAGGTATCAAAATTAAACTTAAAACATAAATCCTCCACAAAAAATTATGTAACTCACTTTCCCCAAACAGCACATACTTTCAAGTACCCTGCGAATATTAAGAGGAAATTTTAAAGTCCCATTAACCTGCATGGCAAAATAATATTAGTAATAAAACAACATTATGGCAAATTAAGTTTTTGTAAGTTAAAGCAGGTATAGGATATATAAGAGAACTTTAAAAAATTGTAAAATGAAATACAGTTGATATAAGAAACCACGGAAGCAAGGATAAATGGTAGATGTTATACTGAAAAACATAGGTGCAAACTGGATGCAAAGCCATGGCTTTTTAAGGAAAAAAAATCCTCTGTACATCTTCCTTCAGAGGGAAAGTAAACCAGTAGTCCAATGTCGGACATTTACCTACAACTTAATAGAAGCCTCTGTGCTAAATTCAAGTCACCTGAGTGATAGCATCTTTTTCCGCTGAATGGCGAAAGTAGCGCAGCGAAATTTGCATGGTCAAGCAGAAGAGAAGGCCTGATGGCCCAAGCCCTCACCACTTATGAGGCATTATTGATGGATTGATTGAATGATAACTGGGTCATAAATCTAACAAAGATGGATTTCACACGTGATAGAAAAAGATCAAGCATTTCTAGATGGATATCATCCTTTAACCTAAATCCTACCCCAATTTCCCTTCCCCAACAAATTGTGTGAGCATAGGTACATGCCTACAGACTGCAGCACCAACACTATGGCCTGGCTCCCTTCCTCTAATATAGGACCAGCTTGTGCAAATAGCGAGTACTGCTACTGATAACGGCTCATGAGCGACAACGGTACAACAAATAGAGAGACCAATGAGTATCATTTGTAACTGTTGCACCTATAGGAAATGCCGCAGTTGGAAGGGATGGGGATATGTATTTAGAAACCAAAAGGTACCAATGATGTAAAATAGAAACATATTCATTATTTTCATTTTTGTACAGTTCAGATTTTCATTAATATTAGTGTTGGGCACTGATCATTAATTAATATAAATATTCAAAAACTTTTTAAAACAGAAATCATTCACTAATGAACTGTCCCCTTTCATCCAGATTCCAACAACCTGAAAGAAAGACATGTTCCATCTATTGAGTAATTTTTTCAAGTTTGAGCATCTTATAATGGTTATCTTGTCACAAATATTAAAAGAATAGAATTAATACAATTAAGAAAAATACAGTTCAGCAGGATCCTTATAAATTAATGGTCAACAAGACAGAAGATATGTAGATTAATTTAATCACAGTAGAAGAACAAAAGAAAAAGAAAAAAAAAGAAAAAAATATAATGGACAATATAGAGAAGATATGACAACATTTTAAGAACGGAGAGAGAGTGATGTTCCGAACTGATGTTATGCTATCTCCAGAAAATAATGTGTCACTATAATTCACTTTGTATTGTTACACATTTTTATTTGAAAGTGAAATACAAAGTGATTACTGCAGAGGAATTTGTTATTTTTAATGTATCCTTCAAAATTGTAGTTTTTGTGATATTATAGCTAGAATATTTTTTGCTTTACTCCTGTCATCAGTTGTCCATGGAGTGTGACACTCAAACAGTTCCAATTCATAGTTTGTAGGGACCCTCATTGATTTTCTGTATGTTATAACTCACATAAACCTAACCTAACCTCGCTTGCATATCAAAAGCTTTTTAATACAGGATATGTTTCACACTCAAACCTTTTAATTCTGGTATTATGCTTAAAACAGGTACAATATAATAATGGCAATGAAGTAAACTCACCTCCAGCAAATCTATCATACGAGTCATCTGGGAATAGATAAGAACACGATGACCTTGTTCCTTGAGACGCCTCAGAAGTCCATCAAGAACATATAGCTTGCCTGCATCGGTAACCAATGTTTGTTTGTCTAGACAAAATACAATACTTGTCAATACAACATAGAGTAACAAAAAAATTGAAAATTCCATTTTGTTTTTGTAACAGATTACTAATCCCATTCTCAATTTTCATCTTCCTCATTTATCAAATGAAAATTTGTAAAGCTACCTTATCACACGAGACCAAAATCTGAACATATTTGAACAAAATAAAGACGCAGTTTGTCAGTAATATCAATGAAAAGCATGGGCAGTTTCCATGAAACATTGTTTCACGGCCATGAAATTGAACAATTTCTTGCATATACCTTTAAATATTACAGATTGTTTGGGCACTGTTAGCAATTTAGTTTATTGAATGTTGTGAAGTGCCCTCTTTCCTTGTGTAGAGTGTGGTCAATGATGTGAGAAAATGTGGAGGATGGTGAAAAAGATCTCCTAATTAGAACACTCAATGAGCAACCAATTAACAAAAACAATAACACTGCTGGACTTCTACAATTCATGGAAGTAGAATAGCTATCCATTACTGGTAATTTTGATCGCTATGAAAGAACCAACAATTTTCTTGCCAAATAGGACTATGACCCATTTGAAAAAAAGGAGGTAAGATCAAAACTCTTTTTCTAACTGGAATTTGAATCTCTGTTTTTTTGTGTACACTGTGTATCACAATGACAATTTAACAGCCCAAAAATACCCTTATTTTGAGAGAAACCTTCTACAAAATACAACATAACTTTACAGAGTTTTATATTGAATTGTCAATTATGCTGGAAATATGATCAGTCCAGAAAAGTCATCCATGATTTGACATTCTTACTGAAGAGAAAAATGTTATAGAAATGATTTTAAATTCTTACTGTATATCAAATATTTTATTCTTCAAACAGTTCAAAACATTTATAGAACACTGGCTTAACTTTTATACAAATGATTTCATTACACACCTGGTACAACGATATTTGACCAGCCATATTTAGGTACTGCAGCTTCAATACCACCCACTGGCTGAGTGTTGAAGTACTGTGCTCTTGAAAGATAAGCATTTGCCAAATCTGGACTACCATACCACATCGTCTTCCAGCCTTCCAAGTCATGACAATGTTGATGACGAAGAACACTCCAAGCGGCTCTTCTACTACTGCAGAAAATACTACTTGAGCGGGTTTGTATCTAAATAAAAAGACAAGAAATATTAAGCATTAAAAACTCTTCTTCCCAGCTACCATCTATTGAGCCACCACACGGCATTTTTACAATTTTTCGGTCCCTTAATGTTAGAACTATAATATATCTTTAAGAATATTATTAGAGAAGAGTAAAACCTGGCCCCATATGCAAATTTCCATTGAAAAATGTGAACCAGTTTTTGAGAAAATTTCTGTGAGCATTTCTAACAATATGCAATTTTGAGAAACTTAATTGGAAGTCGTTCGAAGTGTTTTCACTCACAAATGTATTAATGTATATTGTATCCACAATGTAAAATATTAACTCGAGATATATTTAAAAAAAAAAATGACATTTGTGTAGTTTTGAAAAATTTTAAAAAATAAATTAAAATGGCTTTAATGTTAAAAAAAAATGCAGGCATTGTTGATAAAATGTCATTCAACAATTCTGAAAATTAGGAATTTTTAGCTTATTTTCACACAAAAGTTGAGACATCATCTGAAGAACTAATACTCACAAATGCAGTAATGTATACAAATTACTGGTAATGCAAATGTTAATCAATGAGAAAGATATTTTAAAACATTACATTTGGGTAATTTTTGAAAAATCAGAATAATTTTACATAGTGCATTCCGCACTGTCCATAATACAAAAGGTTTAAAGAAAAAAATTGCAACCTTTTTGAGAAAACATTGTTTTAATAATTTTTAATATTGCCGATATTTTACTCAATATTACATGAAAATTACCTAAGTTTTCAAGAAAATGTACATAACTAATTAAAGGACCAGTTGTGAGGGTCAATTTTTATTTGAAGGCAAATTTTATATTTTTAACATTACAGTTGTAGGAAGGCGTCAATGTCTGAGGGACTTCATGTACAGAATCTTCAAAATTTAACAAATTCTTTTGAAAATCAGCGATTTTCAGTTGAGTAAGATCGACCACAAAATATTCAATTTGGGGAGAGAAAAATCCTACAAATAGTATAGGCACTTGTGTTGTTCACATGCAGCCAGCCAGATGGTCAGATAAACAGAGGCAGACAGATTTCGGATGTATTAAGAGAAGAAAAAAACAAAAACATTACTTTCTCAGTATTAGAGATTCCCCCAAAACTGCCATCCAACCCACTCCACCTGTCTGACTGATCCTGTGAACACGTGACGCATTGCAGACCGGCACCTCAGAACGCTATCCTATCCCAGCTCCTGGCAATTTTCATACAGTGTTCCAAGGACACAGGTGTTGATGTAACGCATTTCAACTTCATTCACTTTGCTTCAAAACTGTATGTACTATTTGACTTACCTGTCCCAAAAATGGAACAGTCAATTTCGAGTTTTTTTTTTGTCTCAAATTTTCTTTTACAAATATAATTATGGTGCATATGCAGCTAAAATCTAACGGTTTTGCTATTTCTTCTACAAAAAAAATGCCCATATGTCCACAGTTTTGTGCTCAGAGCACTTTAGTAGTATAACTTAGCAACATAACAATGGTTTATCACTAAAAGTTGCAAATACATGCTATGAAAAAGCTCCAACATTGATTACGTGTGAAAGGACAGAACAATAATGACATTGGGTGACAACAATGGGCGAGCGCAATGCGCACAAAGTCAATGATATTGGAGACCATGATAGGTTCTAGGAGTGCTAATGAAAACTCACTTGAGATACATAGTTCCATACACAAAAGATAAAAGATGTCTTGAAAATGATTAGCAAGCCAAGATGGAAATCTCCATCCGTAGTCCTTGTCGATTGGGAGAGAGAAAACGGAAATTTCCATCTTCGGTCATCTATGTGTTAATTAAAGTCTAGCCATTCAGAGAAGAGGTAATGATACACAACATGGCAATAAAAACTGTGGGAAATTGTTTACCTTCTGCAACTGAGATTGAAACGCTTATAAATATGAGGATCACACAATGTAAGCATTATTATAGGAAATGGGGAAATAAAAGTCCCAATGATACTGAACAATTTTCCTCATAGTCCTACTTGAAAACAAAATCCATTCTGTGACCTTCACTATAAGGAAATTATTGATAATTTTATGGATGAAATTGGAAATATTCAGAATTAAGTCTCTTTCCCACTGAGAGCATTGCTAATGCCAAAAGCACTATAGTGCTTTTCTTGACCCATAGTAATTGTCATCAGTGTTGAGAAACTATACACAGATGCCCAAATTGTCTTTGGAATAGTTACAAGCAGTTTTAACAGCTTCAGAAGTCTCAGAAAGTATCATTCAAGTTGTTTTCAGAGATAAATTCAAACAAACTTCAATCTTCAACCACACAACGAAATTCTTCAGTATTGTCAATCACTGCCAATTCTGTTTCTAGCTTTCTTGATACAACGACGGGGATACACTTTACAAATCTCATTTAATTTCACACTGGAAAAACTAGAATTATATTTGGGAAACATTTCTGACTGAAATACTGTAGTTGTAAATAGATGTCCCGTGTACTTCAACATTTTTTAAATTAAAGAAATATGACTTCTTTTTCCTCTTATTCTACGGTATCAAGTTTTGTTCTCTTCAAATCACTGACATAATTGTTTTTTGGAAATTTTTTCCTCTTAATTTCATTACTTTCTCTTTTGTAAGTACCAATATGTTTGGATCAATATATTAGGTAAACTTTTAATTTTCAACTACGCTTCCACTTAATGAAGTTAACTTGACACTGATTTTCATTATACAAATGTTGAAATTAGTGATATTTAAATAAACACTGCACTTACAAAAACAACCAACAATGATGATGGTGATAGAAATTACAACGAGATTTATAGTATTTTCGCCGCATGTTTTTATACAGTCACTGGCTAAAACCAGCTTTGCAGACCCACCAAACAAAAACCTCAGTCTCATTCGACAGTATCTCTAGATGGTTACAAAACTTGGGAGATTAAAGTCGGCTTGACAACAGGACTGCAAACCTCATCACCATGATGATTAGGTAGGATAAAAGAATATGTGATTCAATGAAAGGAATAAAAATGGTGGTTGCACAAACCTGCAACCACCACTGTTTATAAAAACTATCTTTCTTTATATAATAGAAAATAATTATCTTAAAACGGTATAGTAAATTATGCCTGCCAAACATTCCACTTTTCGGAGAAAATCCTATTGAAATCAGATTAGCCATTCCCAAGAATACACCACACAAACAGACATGAAAAAAATAACTGAACAATTCAACGAGAAATTTGGGAATATCCTATAAATAATCAGATAATAGTACTAAGAGATTGTTATTTTAAAATTGCACACACTTCAATTTTATTAATATAGCATAATTTAAAAAGAAAAGTACTAAATACTATACTAATACCACTTTGCCTCAAGAATAAAGAAAAGAGCGAAAAGAAGGAAAAATGGCAATCAAGACATGGAAAAGAAAGAAACAGAAAAAGGAAAGTAAAGAAAAAAATAAAGATAAAAAGGAAAGAAACAACAACTTTGAACTCACCTTCGGGCAAGTGTAATGTAGAAATGAAGGTAGGTCAGTAGGTTCACATTCCCAAACTTTTGGTGGGCGAGGAACATGCAGGAATTCTGGTAATATTGGACATTTTCCACCTCGACTTGCCACTGGACTTGAATTTTCTTCTTCACCAATTTTTGATGGAGATTTAAGTTCCTTTGTGAAATTAGGAGATCTGATCTAGAATTGCAAAAATATGGACACATTTTCTTTAAAATAATTACTCAAAATCAACTACTCACAGATGAAAACCTTTCTCTCATTATTATACAAACCTTAGGAGAACCAACTGATCCCAATACTTTCCCAGGGCTGGTTATCAAACTCTCAGGTTCATCTTTCACAATTCCTGCCCCTCCCGGAAGACTTCGGTGTACTTTACGTGACCGCAGGATGCGATGCTCAACGGTTTCCGCCATAGCATGAATGACATGATCCAAATGGGAATAAATAGTATTGTGCCTACTTGACACCGCAGTGAATATCAATTGCGCCAAAACAGTACTGGTCTGCACAGCTGCGGGTGATAGAGCACCAGAAGCAGAAACTAACAATAATCGACAAACTGATATGCAGTCCCACCACATAACACGATGGTAATACGGAATATCTTCCATAACTCGTTTGTTCAGCCACAGCAACCTGTAGAAGTAGAAGTGGCAGATGTGTAATTGAGTAAAAATATGCAATAAAATTTCGATTTAAGTCTGGTGTTTTAAACTAAAATAATTTAAATTCCTGGGCTTATGTTACATAAATTAATAGTTATGTTCATCACGACAGATAGATATACAGGGTCAATGATCTTGCAACCCATGTCTGGGATCATTTTCTCATTTGTGGTTATTTGGCAACCGCCTATCTTTGCCATCAGTCAAGGCATGGCAATGATTGGTATGTCGGGATGGCAGAGGAGGTGAGTGTTAGATTTTACATTACAACAACTTTCCTGTTTCTTAGTTATCTTATTCAAGATTCATCATGGTTAGTGAAGATCGCAAGCCACATAATTCAAAAAAAGAAAAAAAAAATATTTTTAAAATCAAAAATGCATCTAAAATTGAATTTTAAAGCAACTTTTTCTATTCAATAAACTGATGAATTGATACTCACGTTGATGTTAAACCCCCTAGAGTCAGTTTCTGCAACTCCATGGGACAAATATTGCACAGTCTTGTAAATGAAAAACAGCTTTCAAGTAAAGGCCCTAAAAATTAGAAGACCTTGCTTTAATTAACAAAATAGTAATAAAATTTAAACACACGTAAATACATAAACTTCAATGGTAGAAATACCTGTTGAAGAGAGAGGAAAGAGGCTCCGATGAATATACTCTGCTGTAAAAATACTAAAGAGATTATAAAGAAGGTGATACCGGCTTGGAAAAGCATCAATTAACATTGCCTCGTCAAATACCAGCTTGGGTAATATATACTCGCATGCCTGAATGAAAAATGGAGATTTTGCTTCACGGCGTTCAAATAATTCTGGGTGATTGCACACCTAAGCAGAGAGAGAGATCACAATTTATTGTAAAGAAAATATAAGCTAAGAAAAAATTAATTGTCTTTTGTTTAAAAAAATACCTTTCGAAATTGCATAACTAGGTTCATCAAGCTCGACGTAACGCTTTGAGAAGTTTGATTTGTACCAGTATAAGAATACAACAGATCTTCAATACGTATTTTTTTCTTCAGAGCTTAAAAGAGAAATAATAAAATTACATTTAATGAACACATGAGAAGAAATTGTTTCTAAAGAAATAACTAAGCTCACCTGAATAAAGAAGTTTCTGCCTTGTTGTAAGAGGACAGTACACCATCACTTCAATTTTATCAGATAATTCATTTTCAACATCTTTCTTAATTCTTCGAAGCATAAATGGTTTAAGAATCATATGCAATCGAGATAAATGTTCTGCAAATAAATATATATTAAAAAGTATAACATAATGAAAGTAAGTAGTATTTACTTTCACTGTATATAGCACTTACTTTCATCAATTCCAGTTTTATTTTCTGCATGAGACTCTATATCTTTAGAGAACCACTCATTAAATTCATCATGAGAATCAAAAAGTGTTGGCATTATGAAGTGAAGTAAAGCCCACAATTCAGCCATACTATTCTGAATCGGTGTTCCACTGAGCAAAAGTCTATTTCTACAACTGAATCCCAGAAGTAATTTCCATCGTACGCTAACATGAAACAAAGAAAAAGTCAAGAGAGGTTTCAAGAAACAGTTGACATGTACTTACAAAAATAATACATGCAAAATTACCTGCTTGTGCTTTTTAATGCCTGAGCTTCATCCAAAACTAAGTACTGCCATTTTATTCGGTTGAAATACTTAAAATCTGTAATTACAAGTTGATAACTTGTAATCACTACATGAAAACTTGCCTCTTTAGTATGAAGATCTTTTTGATCCCAGAATTGTCGAAGGATTTTTCTTTCCTACACAAGAAAATATTTATAGAAAAAGCAACGTACAAGTAAATTAAAAATCTAAATGATGAAGACACTTATAATTATCTTCTAACCTGAGGGCTACCCCAATAGGGAACAACTTTGAAATCAGGAACAAAACGAGCCATCTCTTGCTGCCAATTGTGAAGCGTAGAAGCAGGAGAAATAATAAGAAAAGGTCCCCACACATCTGCCATGGGGAACACAATTATTAAACTTTTTAACATTTACTCCATGAAGTATTTTTCATTACACTACAATGCACTTACCATACTTTTCAGCAATGTGACACAGAAATGCAATTGACTGCACAGTTTTTCCTAAACCCATTTCATCTGCCAAAATACCATTTATACCCTGGAATGGAAAATTATAAAATTTTGAACATACAGCATTAATTATGTATTATATTCTGTAAGCAATATACTACCTATTAAATTTAATGCAAAGTTTATTAAAACACTCATGTTAGAGTATTTGCCTGCTGATGCTTATTCAAAATTAAATACCAAATCTCAAAGTTTAGAAAAAAATGTACCTGGTCATAAAGATTGGCTAGCCAATTCATTCCTTTAAGCTGATAATGCTTCAGCTTTCCCCTGAAAATGTTTGGCTGAGGACGTTCTTCATCAGCACTTATGCTTGTTTCAGTTAATTTGAAGTCTTCAGCCAATTCATGCGCCACACCATGTGCAAATTGACGGGTTCGAACTTGTTCTGCTTGGAAAGCATCTCTTACATTCTTTTTGCACTTCTGCTTCATTATTTCACTGTTAAATGAAATTCACATTTTGAGTTTCAACCAAACTACAACTTCATAAATTACCACTTAAGTCAAGAAACAAAAATAAACAGAAATTAATTACAAACACATTCCACGCTAAAGTCTCACAATGAACATCATCAAATACATTAACATTTCTTCATTTAGTTACAATTCATGTGCCATTCTTCATAACATTTTATCCAAAAATATTAAATACTTGAGTAATACTTGAATATACATGTATTGAAAGTGATATTTTTTGCATTGGTTAGATGAAAACTCCAGTATGCATCAGTGGTCTGCTCTCCAGATGGGATTGAATTAATAAAAGTTTTGAAAAAATGTCAACACAGTTTTAACTATTTCAGGACCACTGGTGCATACCCGGAACGGGGCATTGAGCGGCAATTTTTTGTGGATAAATTCAATGGATCTCACTGTTGGTTCTATGGCAAATATCATACTTGTAAGAGCGTATCAGTATAACATTACTTCTACAGATAAGTTTATTATAAACTCTCCTCTATATAAAATGATAGATAATATTAACAATTTTGCAGCCTGTTACACTGATGAGATTGATTTATGTGCAGACTATTTCCTCGATTTGTAATTGAAATATGTTACCATAACAAAGTACAGTTATTTTTTGTAATTGTAAGCCCATAATTGGGCACATATGTGCAGGCTTTTGCTTTTATAAATAAAAATAAAACTAGAAGAAAAAATTATATAATAAATTAAACTTGAACAAAACGCAGGCAACAGTACACAACAGATTTAGGCCAAATTGTTGTTGTTATAATTGTTTGCTTTAATACAATTTGTTTTGCGTGTTGAATAATCTCAATAATAATTCTATCTAAGTTGTTAACAATCTATAAAAAAAAAATTTAACAATTTTATAAAAAAAATTTATTTAGAAGTTTATGATTTATGTATACAAAACAAGTAAAAGAGGGAATAACAATCTTATGACAAAAAAATATTAGCATGGAGGATATCATATTTTGAGGTAATATACACTTTATTGAGAAAATACAAAACGTGTGGGTCAGTGGGTGCAATTCCTCAGTGGGGTCGTTGGTTCCTCATTGACGAGATTATCGAATATTTATTTAAGATATGAATGTTAGGTGCTGAGTCTGCATTCTCTGGTAGTGTGCTCTAGGTATCAACAACCCATTTACCCAGAAAGTCACTGGGTGCTGTAAGATTTTATCATGATTTCATAAGTTTCATACTGTGTCCTAGTAGTTGGAGATTTCAGAGTGATGAAAGATGTTTAGGTGTTTAGGCACATTTAATATTTTGTGTTTGAGTGAAGTTTCACCATCGTCTCCATCTCACGTTTGGTAATCATTGTTCGTAGGTCATGTTTTCAAGATCTTGAGAGTACACGTTGCTCTTCTTTGAATGTTCTCCATCTAAAAGAAAGTAAGGTTTCGAAAAAGAAGAGCCAAATTCAATTATCAGGAGAATATAGATCGTATTAAGAGAGGCAAAGACATCACTTTATATTACACTGAAAGCTTTACACCAGATTAGTCTAAATCATGATTCTCAGATCTTTCATAACCATGGTTTCAGCAACATTTTCTTCATCTATGTAATAGTTTCATTTGGTTTTATATGCCTATGACCATCCAGCCTTTCAACCATTCTTATATCACAGACTTTATTCTTATATCATATCTATTATCACAGACTTCAAGATGGAGATGATTCTCAAAGAGGGTTAGCATAGAAATGTGGACATCTATATACATCTTGGATTGCATTCCATTTGGTTGCTAAAATTCAAAATAATTGGGATCAGTCCCAATATCAAGCCTCGAAGAACAATACTGTTGATTCTCTTCTATAATTCTCACACAAGTGCTTTACCAGGAAACATTGCATCCAACATAGTAGTTTTCTCCTTATGCTGAGATCAGCCAGTTCCCAAATTAGCTTATGATGTTACCTCATTGAAAGCTTTAGAGAAATCCAGGTAGATGTCTGTTTGATACCATTATTACAATCCTTCATCCAATCATGAAATAAAGATAATAGATTTGGGTTGTAGATCTACCTGGTACGAAGTCACACTGCAGCTGGGGAATACATCGTTCTCAAATAGTATGTTACAAAATGATGCTGTAATGGGTACTAATACACGAGTGTGATATTATGATTCAAGTGAGAAATGAGTGGGTATCGTAAACTTCACACCAATGTATTAATACCCATTATGTTGAGTTTCGGAACTTTTTGTACAACTTATCGTAACTTTTATAAGTTAAACTTTCACATTGAACTGTTTCATGGTAGTTGACATGAGACAAGGGCACCTAGCAGACAGCTACCCTACCCTGCCGCAGGTGGCTTTGGTTGGAAGAGTTACGGCAATAATTCTGAGATCACCATTTTTGCTTTTTCTCTTAGTTCTAGAGGTGCCCACTCAACCTCTCATTCATTAGACATTTTAAACTAAAGAATTGACTGTGTTTAAGGGCAACAACATGGCAGCAACATTTAATACAAAATGACTTGCGTTCTGATCTTAACTTCAGTCAAATGTTCCCTCTACTACTATCACTGCACTAGTCAAATAGGATCAAAATGAAATTACAATTCTATTTATTTAAAATACTATTCCATGTGAAATTTACTAATAATAAAAGAAAATAAAACTGACAAGCATAATATAATATTAAACGCAATTTTAATGCACACAATTGAACAAAACATTTACCGGAATGATTTTCAATGATTAAGTATCAGTACTTGGTCTGTAAACTTCTCTGGGATTGGTCAAGAACCTGTATGATAATGAGTATCATTATGCAATGGGTTGGAAACATCAAATAAGAGAATTATACAATGGGAGTAGAAAAACAAAGTTAAGTTCATTTGTCAGAATCTGTCAGCCCTGTATTGTCGTACAAAACTTCATTATTATATAATAGATTTCAATTTTTTCACACTCATAATCAATCTTAATGTTTCCGATATATGCAATAATTAAATGATTGAAATTGCCAACACACATTCTTCACTTAACTTACCGACAAATAAAATTTACAATGAAAATTTAAATTTTCATTGAATCCAGAGAATAAAATACAGGCAGGTGTATAGTTACCCATCATAATCATCAATTGAAGCAAGTCTTGGAATCTTCTCCTCTTCCAACTGGCTCAAAATGCGCAACTGTTCCTGAGGGTTGGCACCTCCCAATTTGCGAGACATAAAATGAGCATAAAGTTCAGTTTGTGTAATAAGGAAGTTCAGTTTTCTCTGCTGACGCTTGGCCTGGAAAAAAGGCAGTACTAGTACTAAAAGCAACTGCAAACTACTGGTTCAAAAAATTATTTATTTCATGTATAATGTAAACTTTTATGAAATAACAATATTTTTTGGTGAAACATAAAAAGACCACTAATTATCAAACCATAAAAAAATTGAATTTGCAAATGTTTAAATAATCAAAATCTACATATAAATAATAGCAATGAAGTAAATGTTCTACAATATAAAATGTTGTGGAATTAAAAATGATCAACGAGCACTAACAGTAAATATGACAATTCCTCACCTCCATGAGTTCTCCATCTAATTTTCGTTGTTCTTCAGCTTCTTTCTCCTGTCTTCGTCTTGTCTCACGTTCCACACGATCATAACGTTTCCAATATGCTTGCATTTCACGAGTCAATCTCTTAGCACGCCATACTGTTTCCTTCATATTCTTTTGAGACTACAAAAAACAACAACAAAAAACAGTCTTAATTTTCATTATCAAATTACATGTCAGTACACACCTGTATTAACACCTGCACAAACAGACACCTGTATTAAGCAGTCACTACCACTAAAGGCAGTTTTTTGTAGCACTAATTGCTTTTTACAAAAATCACAAATAAATATTCTCTTTTAAGCAACCACCTAGTCCCACCGCCAGCAGCCAGGCACATGTTGTCGATTGACCTGAATTAAGCTGTCACATATAATGATTTTGAAACACAACAGAATAAGAAGAGGAACATGGCGGCGAATACTGTTAATTTTCTGAAGAAGGACACAATTAAATCACAACAATAGTGATGTACAGTCACTTATCACGTAACAGGATTAATTTGTTTCATATAACAGACGAATTTAATATATTATTATGAAATAATGTGTGTACTCTGCCCATTCTACTTGGAAAGTTTACCAACCCCAGCTTGCTCTCTTGTGGTAACTTTTCAACAGCCTGTAAAGCATGCCATGTGCGTGAAACATATCTGAAGGCCAACAATGACACCTTTGACTGGCTGCCCTGCTCTAAACTTTCTGTAGCATCTCAAGTGGTTCTCCAAATCTAGTTTGCTAGTAAGTACAATTTGGCAGCAATGGAAAATATGTCTGTTGAGTAAGCAAATGGATAACAAATCAAGAATATGTCTAGTCCAAATGAATCCAAGTAATCCTAGAAAGCAAGGAAGGAGCTTAAACAAGAAAAACTTACTAACATAAGTTCAAAAGGTAAAAAATTAATAATATTGCAACTAAGGATGCTACATCAGCACATACTTTCTCACATTTGGAATAGTTATGTAAAATTGAAATATTATTATTTCTGCTGTAATAAAAAGTAGGTTATACCTAGATTTAAACAATTTAAACAAAGTGCCTGTGATGCGAGCTTCTGCATTTATTCCGATACCCAGGAGGAGGAGAAATTTCTAACGGTTACAAATAAAACAAACATGAATAAATTTAACTATTACAGTATTTACAGCACATTCATTATATAGAAAACAAATCTTAATATTTCACAATGCCTTGCCTTGATTACATCGAAATGAGCTAACAATTTCTGATCATAAATGACATAATCAGTGATGAAAACTTTTAGAGTAAAAGAAATGTATTTGTTAATTCTATGTTACCCTATAATAATATATTACCTTTGTTAAATCTAATTTCTTTTATTTGTTATCTGCCTCATATAATTAACAAGACCAGTAACAATCACAAAAATCCTAAAAAATTCCACATGCCGTATTGCCATTTTATGAACTGACACCATGACAAACAAAGCGTGGGAAATTTGAATTCACAATGTAGATTTTTTCCAATTTTCAAAAATACAGAATGATGAAAATGGAAATGGGATCAGCACCACTTCCTTTATTATTTTTTCTTACATTCATTATAAAATTTGGAGCCGCTCCAGAGAAAACGTTTTGCGAAAATTGGCAAAAACTACTCATTAAAAAAATTGAACTTAACCTTCTTTCTGATGAACACATTTCCTTAAACAAAAAAAGTCCATCTTCACAATGGTAAATCTCCGCTTTCAGAATTTTAGTTGTAGGAAAACGCAATAAGGGTTTTTGTGTCAAAGATTCCGTTTGTTCCGGCAGCATTAAAAAACTTTCTCTATACTGCATATGCATTATCGAGAATATAAAAATGATAGCAATCATGGCAAAGGTAGAAGATAGTATGAGCAAAGAAGAGAATAACAGAACAATTCTGATGGTTACAAGGAGCTTCCGAAAGTATCACTACGGAAATTACAGAGGCCATGATACTATAAGAATGTAGATATAAGTAATTACTCAGGGTTTAGTGGTATGCGAACAAGATAGCATGGTTGACAAGCATAAATTTGAAGAATGTTTAGAAGAATTTAATATTTGGAAATCAAATTAAATAAAATAACACTTTTTTAAAAAAAGGGCATTTTTTTACCCAAATGCAGTGATCTGCAATTACTGCAATTTCACATTTAACCCATTAAGGACCAAGCATTGACATAATGGTATTTTTTTCCAACAATATTATGTCTTTACTCTAATATTACCCTATAAAGGATAATATTATAATAACTCATTAATATTTTTTTTAAACTATCACTGTCAATGAACAACAAAATGTTGCGTACACGCAATGCTGGGTATATTGATTCATCTTGGCATGAGACGAGTGAAAACAGTTTGAATGGAGATGAACACTGCATCTTTTTACATTTGTAGATTGTAGTGCTTTTGCACAATCTGCACCTCATTCTGGCTTTGGCTTCTCCCTTTATAATCACGTGTTCTACATCATGATTAATTGACTGATGATTCTGGGCACACCAACTGCTAAGTTCATTAGTGCCAAGTGTGTTATTGGGGGTGTGTTATTGGCCAAATCCGAAGTTGACCTACCGATCGGCTTGCAGGTTTTTCCCCTACGCAGGTATCTCCCTCTAGTGGGGCACCGCCTCCGCCGGAACCAGCTCTAATCTCCTGACTGGTTTCTTGGCAAGTGTGGTAGTGTTGGGCAAGTGTAAGTGTGTGCAAGTAATGGGTGAAGACAGAATGATCACAGTCCATGGCCAGTTTGTTAAAGTACTGCTCTGGCATTTGCCTGGTATTGATTGGAGAAACCAAGGAAAATCACTGATAATAGCAGCCAAACGCAACAATTTTTCTCTGGACAGCGGCTGAACTTGACCTTGCCATGTAGCTAGTGCCCTGCTATTGTAAGGACTCAAACACTACTCCCCGTACTTGAATAAATTGATAAAACTGATAAAAGCTACTTGAATATTGATTTTAATTGCATCTAAGCGTGAAAGTAGTAAGGGTCCAAGAGAGAAGAATATTTATTCGTATATGAAATGTTGGGAAAACGATATTTTGCTAATGGATATTTGCTATTGTTGTAAAAAGGTATAAGTGCACACATGTGTTCTAAATGAAATAGTCATTGGTTTTGTTGTAATACATTACGTATGATGATTTCCTATTTGCATGTTGCAGAGAAGTGTTTTATTATAGTGGAGAAAGCTTGTGTTTGGGTGATGAAAGAATGATTATTTAAATTGACGAGAGTAAGCTCAGCAAGAAGAAGTATAATTGAAGTAAAACATTTATGAGCAATGGAAATGTGTGTCAATACTGATTTTCACTGTCAATACTGTTGTTGAAAATAGAACCAAAGAGATTTTTTAGATAACAGAAAACCTTAGGTCAAGCTGGCATCCAAAGCGTGATTTTGGATTTTTGGAGTTATTGTAATTGTCTAAGTTGTTCATGACACCTTTCCATCAGCCACTATTTATCAAGGACTCTAAAACAGGCACTCAAATTCAATTAAATGCACTTTATTTATATGTATATTTCAATGGCTTCACATGGGGTCGAAGATCAATTTCAAATCTTTTCTTTATAAATACCTGAGAAGAAAAAAATATGAAATATAATAAGTTTTACAATGTAGCAACTGATTGTAAGTATGGGAATTATTTATAAAATTCTACAAAAATAATATGTCAGTACATGTATTTTATTTTTTAGTTTCCATGTGGGACATGTATTTCCAGGTTGAGTAAGGCAGAGAGAGGTTGGGCAAGACGAAGCAGGGATACAATAGAATAGATAGAAGAAGGCTCCGAGGTACGGCAGGAATAGATGGAATACCTCTTCCTGTCTAATAAATGATTGTCATAAAGTTCTCTGCAAATCAGGGAACTTCAGCTAGTCATTATTAATTTACAAAAATGTTGTTTACGCAGCATTAGGATTAGTGAGCATATGATCCAAATGTGATAGAACAAATGTAATTGAAATGTAATCATTGAGTAATAGGTATGTAACTACTGTTTCATACTTCCGTATCTAATATAATTTTATCACCTTGGGGATAGAGTCTTATCTTGTATTGTTGCATCATTGTGTAAACTATACTTCAGCATAATTATTTATCTTCTACAAAAATTCTGGTTATTTACAGAATGATATATGAAAATAAAGGCCTTTATCAACTGCTGAGCTTATTTCAGTATTGGAGGAAGATGATGACCATATGAATGCCAATATAATTGATGCTGTGCACATTCTTCCTAATGTTGATGAAATGACAGATAAGGAAGATAGATAATCTTCAGGAGGAAAATGAACTAGAAGAAAAAAATTGACTGTGCAGTTGTCAACTCATGGAAAACATATAATATTGCGATAAAAATAACCTATTTCTTGAACTTCTCTACAACAATAATCATTCTCAACTATTAGCCATCTATGTTGATATCTAGTTGGGACTATTATAATGGACATATACACATAAAAAATCAACTTAAAACATGTGTCTGAAATAATTTAATATGGGAAGAATAAAAATTTAGCTGGGACTTAACAACAACAGAGTTTTGCTGTATGTTTCAAAAGTTCAAAAGGATGTTTCAAAATTCTCAGTTATGGAAGCCACAATTATTCAAACTACAAGGAGTACAGATTTGTTACAGTATAACATATCAATATTACTATCATGAAAAAAACAAGGGGAATATTCTTTAAGTAGTGTCATTGCGTTAATCGTGAAATAAGTAATAGAGGGTATATAACAAATGATATAACAAGACAAGTAATCATCCTACTGTATAGTTCAAAAATAAAACACACTGATGAGGGAGATACAATACCAATTGCTGCAAAATTTGTACATGTAATTAAATGGATGGCAGACAAAGTGTGTAATGAATTTCCACTTGAGATATACAGAGCCAGAATAGACAATGTAATACCAGATGAAGTTTTAATAGTGTTGCCTGAAAAAATTTGATTCTTAAAACTTTTAACAAGCAACAAAACAAAACCCATCTACCATTACCTTGCACCACACTTGATAATTAGCACCCCCATATGACACACCAATGTAAGGCACAAGGTTTTTACTATATGATTCTCAGCTAGAAGATGCAAACCATATATTTTTATTCTGTATGGATAAGGACATGACAAGAAGCAATATTATCTCCAGTACATTGAAATGCATCCAACTACATTTACACAATAGTACATGTAACATAGCAATGTATATGTAGTCCCACTAGCATATGCCCTCACAGTGAATAGAGATGCATAAACATACACAACTACTTGTAACCACTTGATGACTGCTGCAAGACAAAGAAGTCATAGAGAACTCAGGCCACCAGCTGAACTCATCAACTTTAAACTTGCTTCCATGAACACAGAGTGAAAAGTATTTCCTACAACCTGCACGGTTGCCTATTTCATTATACAAAGAGCATTCAAAAAAATATTTTAGAACACACAAAAAGTTGAAAATGAAAATCAACAACTTATGTACAGCTTAAAGGTCATCATACAAATATTAGGAAGCCTATTAACAAAAAAAAAAAAAAAAAAAAAAACCAAAATCAGATTGACTCTATGGTTAAAAAATAAACCAGTCAATGATGACACTATCCCACAGGATCTGAAAGCAGTATCTTAGAAGCTAAAGATGTACAATGAAAAATTTGAAGACATCATGGATAACAATGATATTGGCTGAAACTTGTATGATCATGTTACAAATTAACATGATAAAATAAAAATATGTATACAATCTCTCATGGGGAAAAATCTCTTTCTAAAGCCAAGAGTGAAAATATTAATGAGTGTATGTGACAATGGACAAACTAAAAGCACAAACAAACAAATTTCTGGGCGAAAAGTCTATGAGCTAGAAGATTGTTTGTTTATTAAAATTTAAGTGTAGTTTGTTGTTTAAGTTGTATTTTGTAGGTGATGGTTACATATTTCTTTACAAACACATGAGTCAACATCATGAAAGAAAATTACTTAAAATGATATTAAGTAAAACATACTTTATTTCATTGTAATAAGCACAATGATATCTGACTTACGCATCCCTTACCTCATAACCTTGACTAAGTGGACACTAAGTCATTATTAAGACATTATTAATGGCTAAATGTTGATGGAACTGTTAGTAGCCACCTAAGAGAAGTTTCGTTTAATTAAAAACAGTCTCACCTGCATTGCTTTTTGACGCCAGTGTTTCATACAATACTGAGCAATTCGTTTACAGCTGGTTAACATTTCCTTATGGTTGTTCGTTTTTGACCGTTGAACCTGCATAATCAAAAGATAAAAGTTAGAGAAATATTTAATTCTTATTGAAAATCAAGAACATTCACAATGTTCAACAAACCTTCCCCAATTCCTTCTTTGACATCATCATCCAGATTTTTCTTCTTCGAATGGCCATGAGTTCAGGGTTTTTGGCTTGTTGCGATTTTCTCCTACCCCTAGTTAATTTTGTAGTACTTGGTGTCTCCAAATAATAATCTGGATCATCTTCTTCTTTCAAGTTAAGTAGTCCTTCTTCAAACTCAAAATCATCCAAATTTTCATGTTCCTTTATGTAAAGTTAATCCCCATAACCAATTATTAACAAAATTCTTAATATAATTAAAACATGGAGCTTATCTGGATATTTAAAAATAGATGAATAAATAATAAATTAAATTCTTCACCTGGTTTTCTTCAATATGCCTTTTCTCTTTCATAGTTGATTTCCTCATTCTCTTGATTTTCCTTTCCATTTTTTCAGATTTTTTCTCTTTTCTCTTTCTCTTACTTCCCACAACAAGCTTCTGATGTTCTGGATATTTATCATAGTTTGACAATAAGCCAGCACCATAATATAAGTATTGTGAATTCTGTAAACAAAATATCATGTAACACAGAGCACATTGCTACTTCTAACATTGATTACATTAACTGAATAGAACCTAAATAATTTCTGCGCTGTTTATCAGTTGATCTTTGAGACATAAGTCATGGTCATGATCTTGCAGGAACTGGGTATAATGCCCTTCATTAATGAACTGTTATAAGTGATTTTCACAAGGACTTAAAACAAGCAGCGTCTTGCAACATGATAGAATGGTGCCAGCAGTGTATGAAGAGACTGTTGCATTGTGCATTATGGACAAACGCCCAAATATTCCTAACACCATTTTGCATAACACTAGATCACATACTGCAGAAGCTGGAAAGTACTGTGACTCCCAACATTCTTACTAGATGTTTCTCTGCAATTTTGATTTCCTTTCCAAAAATAAGAAACCATTGTGAAAGACACAATTGGCATGGAGACATTACCAATTCAATGAAGAATGACATTTCAAAATTTCCATATAATTGAGCTAATAAGCATTATATATTACAAAGAGGGCATTTTTGAATGTTATTTCACTGTGTTCTACACACTGAACAAATAATAGACATCACTCATATCTCACAACTTGTGTTACTCCCATTATTATGCAACCATTGTCTTGTAGAAACTATGTTCACACCATAAGAAAAAATAGCTGATATAATTTATGTCCCAACATTAGTGCATTAAGCAATAAATCAATGCATTTTACATATTGGTAAAGAATAAGGAACTATAATACTAAATGTAAACGTTTTCTGTATACCGGAATATAACTGGCTAAAACTCAAGATAAAAATTGCATAATGTGAAGTTATCATGAACTGTAGATATTAGATCCTCTCATCTTTTTTTATGAACTTGAGGCATACCTCTGAATTTGTGTAGTAGCGTGATCGTAATCTTTTCTTGAGCACATGATGCCGTAACATTTCTTGTACATCATGTTCTGTAATAGGCTTGTCATCTCCCTCAGAATCAGAAGAATCTGATGTATCACTGATTAACACATCCCTTAACCATCGACGACTCTTTTTCACACTACTGAAGTTATACAGCCGAATTCTGTCTGATCGCCTCTCTGCACACAAAAAGTAAAACATTCATTAATTATCACTGAATAACCAGAGGATATATAATAACATTTCGATATAATTGTACATATTCAAAACACTTATCTGGAACATTACCTTCCTTGGTGGTGGTAATGCCATTAATTATTTTGTCACCTTTTGATTCTTCATTTTCTGTCAACTGAGTTTCTGATTCTGAATCACTAGAGTTGTCATCTTCACTAGAAAAGTAACATACAATATTTAAATCAAACAATTAAAAAGGTAGTAATGCTTTCTGACATAGAATGCAGAGTTAAAACTAACCCGAGTGGAGTGTTAAATATGTTCTCCACATATGAAAGGAAGGGTTTCACATCAAGACTCCTTTCCAAACGTCGCAAGTGCAAAGGTTTAGCTAACTGCCCACTAAGGCCCATTGCATTACAGTCATCAGCCATGGCATTGCACAAAACACCTTGTCACAGACGCATCTTCTTACATTCCAGGATAATAGCTATAATGCAAACCAATGTTCGATAGGTAAACAAGCACTTCAACCGCATTGCACAACGAAAACACGTTTATTGAATCGTTTGATTAGAACGCTTCTGCCGTTTTATAAGAGAATGTTCTCATGAACAAAGAGATTGAGTTCTCGTTTACATTTGGGAACATACTCTACAGGAGTTGTTTGTTTCAACTATAAGCGAGTTTTCCACCACACATCTTTTATATTCATTATACTTGGGATTAGTGGTTGGAAATAACCTTAAATTGAACATGGTAGTGATAATGAATTCTTTTAAGGTGTTTACGCATTTAGTGCATTTAACTACCGCGATTTTGCAGAAGTTTTCATTTTACAGTTAATACATACATATAAAGAAATTACAGTATAGGTATTATCATCATTGCAGTTAATCCACTTCAAAGGAACAAGAAAGGCAAAATGGCGTTCCTCATATTCCAACAAATATCTCAGCCAGTCCAAAAACCGACTCATTTCGATATTTCTGTGGGGAAGATGGCACCCCGCCATCATTATTTTGTCTTCAACATCCAACTTCTTTTCATAATTATCTCAAAAAGCAATGCCTGTATGAGATTTCAAAATTACAGCATACATTTTATTTTTATTTTTAGAGCAATTATGTTTCGAAATTAATTTTATCTTCATATTGATAATACATATAGCGGAAGTACTACTCCCAGTTTCTACAAGTAGGTTCGCTCGGCAGCTCAATCCACAATAAAAATTCTACTTTATGAAAGCACTTCCTCGAATTACAATACCTCTCGTTTTCGAGCGAGTTTAATCATAATATTTTGAAATCATCTGGGTGTTGAATTAAATATTACCTTTGTAATACCAATATGGCTGGATATTTTTAAATATAATATTATTCATTTTGAAAGATGATGTTAATACTGACATGTTAATAAATGTCTAATAGTGCAATAATAATTGTTATTAATAAAGCTTATTTGATATTTTTATGCAATTTAATAACTTTATATTCCAATATAATACATTTTTATAAAGGTAAAATTTTCATAATCTATTATTTTATGGGTTCAAATTCAAAACGTTCAAAACTTTGAGGCAATGGAGAAATGGTATATTTAAATAAATATACATTTATAGATGTGTATAAATTTTTTAAAAATTACAATTATAATTGTATAGTATGAATAATATGAATTGTTAATAATATCATTATTCTGGGTGCGTTCAAAACGACCTTGGCGACAACACATCCTTGGATGCGAGTTTATTCCTCGGCGAAATCCTTGCTTTCAGATGTGAGAACCCCCGGAAGCATTGGTTGTGGCTTCGTAGATGTTGGCGTCGGCGTTGTAGAAGGTGGCTAACGAAGAGAGAGTGAGTGTGTGTGGAATATTTGATTTTTCTTGATATATGTGAATTCTTTACCACATCTAACTTCTGGAAGTCTCCGAATTGAGATCAAGGTACGTGATATTGTATAAACCATTCTTTTTGGTCTCTTTCTTTTCACTCCAAGAAACAAACTGCTTGCCGGTGTTATCGATTTTTCGTTGCATTATGCTGACTCATGTTTTCATTTTAATTTCTGTAATTTTTACGGGTCAACAATAGTTATTTTGCATTGTGGTTTGTTAGTAAACGTTTGCACTGGTCGAGTCCATCGATTTGCTTATTCAATTTAATTTTTTATTACTTTTTTTTTACTTACCGGAGATAGCGATACGGAGACGCCATTCTGGTGATCCAAAGTAACGGTCATTTTGTATCCATAAACATCTTCGAATTGTGACTTTTTTACTTAGCAGGTTGTGTATTTAACTTTCGGGTTAAAATTAATTTGTTCCAAATATATAATTTCTAGAATTGAAAATTTATTTATTAAGTTACCGTTATAAAGCCAGAATCACTTGGCCCCTTAAAAGTTCGCGGGAGCGATATTTTGTAGAATTTTATTTTGCGGGTTGTTATTTTACTTTATTTTGTTTTGTTACCTTTCTTTAATGTTGTTTTGAGGGGTGCTACTCCTGTTAGCTTATTGCGTCTAGTGCGTGGACTAAGAATCTGTGCTAACCAAGTAGCCACCACTTAATCCTGCCACTCCCAGTTTGATACATGCCAATGTTTTCTTATTGGTGAATTTAATTCAAAAATAGTAGTCAAAGATTAAAGTTTGTTTTGTAGTTGTAGCTATCATTTATGAATTGATATTTTGGACTCCTACCGTGAAAATATAACAATGTCTTAGTTGGAAATGACATGAATAACATCATCTTGGGCATGTGGTAGGATTCATATGTGAAAGGCTTCTTTTATTTCCTTTAAGAATGGGCACCCGAGTTTTCGTTGGTGGCTTAACTTACCGAGTTCGAGAACGCGACCTTGAGAGGTTCTTCCGGAAATATGGTAGAATCAAGGAGGTCGCAATGAAGAATGGATTTGCCTTTGTGGTAAGTTGCTAATTTAAATTTGAATTCGTTTTTGTTCATTGCAGCATGGTAGGGACAAGGGTGTATGTCGGAGGCCTTCCGTTTGGAGTCAGGGAGAAAGACCTTGAGCGATTTTTCAAAGGCTATGGTCGCATTCGTGATGTTCTTATCAAGAATGGCTATGGCTTTTGTGTAAGTAAAAATAATATTGTTTAATGTTGTAAGTATGCATGCTCGTTATGATTCATCTTTACATAGGTGTAGCTCTGATGATAATTTTGGATCTGAATTGATGATTATACACATCCATGGGTACCAACGTCCTGATTTCTTTAATGGGGAATTAGAAAACTCATGTGTAGCTTTAGAGAGTCAATGTGGTGATTTTGTTTCAGGAATTCGATGATTATAGAGATGCAGATGATGCAGTGTACGAGTTGAATGGAAAAGAACTGTTAGGAGAAAGGTAGGTAGCTTTACTGCAAATTTAGGCAATTGCTTTGGGGAGTTGTTTTTGTTGCAAGTGTATAACTAGAGGATTATGGCTTGGCCAAACTGTTTCATTTTACAATATTCAATTATCTTCATCTAGTATATGTGGGGGTTGGCAGTATCAAAAATGGTGAACCTTTGTATTCTGCTTTTGTTTTCCTCTGCTTGCAGTTAGTTTAGATCTTATGGTTCTTTAAATATTTTATTAAATTTCTAGCACATGAAGCGAGGGCTGGTGGAGTGAGAGGGGCACCCCGCCCTGCATAACGTTGTGTGTTCTCTTGTTTGCAGGGTTATAGTGGAACATGCTCGTGGTACCGCTCGTCGTGACCGTGGATATGGCGGTGGCGGCTATGGACGTCGACGTTCGTCGTGGATGGACAAGTAAGCCGATTTCATTGCTTGTTGTTGCAGAGTCTCTGTAGAGAAAGCTCGCGGAACACCGCGTGGCAGTGACATGTGGAGAGGTTGCAGTCGAAGTCGTGGGTCGCCCCCACGCAGGCGGAGTCGCGGTCGGGACAAGTAAGCTGCGAAGAGATTAGGGACCATTCACGTTTGATGTGTTAATAATATATGTAACTAGATTGTCTTGTTGTAGGTCCGCTTTGTCCTGCACTTATTCCCCCCTCCCCTACAAAGGTTTTTGCATCACGAAGTGTAGAACCAGGCCTTAGTCTGATTTGTGGGCTGTTAATTCAGGACATAATACTCTGCCTTGAATTGCAAAGCATGAGTAGTATTGTGTATTGTGAATGTCATATTTCGGGTATTAATTGTTTGAAAAATTCCATTCTTAATTAGGTTAGGGAAAATGTTCCTTCGAGAATTAGCTTTTTAAAATGAGTCATTTGTGTTGGTAAGGTGAGTGAAAGAAATTCTCACAATTCTAACTTGTCAAGATTATTTTATTTATTTTTACTTGTTAAACTTGCTGATAAGGAGTTATTCTTGTAAGGTACTACTTTACTAGACTTGGTGAATATAGTTTTCAATGTGCAAAATATTATTCCATTTGCTTGAGTAAAGTGTGCCTTGCAAGTTAACAACAAAGTTTGGCCCACCTGACCGCTTTATTTGTTTCAGGGATATGGATGTCCGTATTCATGACAGGTATGCGCTGCTGTTTGTTTTTATAATTTATATCTATAAGTGAGCTTCTCTGGCATGAAAATTTATGGGTTTTCTTATTTAGTTGTGAGTAACCCAGCTTGTGGGTTAAAAATTGCTCTTTAAAACTTAAAATTATAGTTCTTAAACATGTATTGCATGATTGATAACACATTTAATTGAGTTTTGTGTGGCTTTGTGCATGAAGGTTACAATTATATTGCTGGCCTCATGTGGTTCTCAATAAATTCAGTTAGGCAGAGTTGTATGGGGAGGGGGCATTAGAAAATAACTTCTGTAAATTTCATAATATCCTTCTTTTTCACAGATACGGACCACCGACAAGAACAGAATATCGACTCATTGTAGAGAATCTGTCAAGCCGTGTTAGCTGGCAGGTAAAACATTCTTTTTGTTTTCTTTTTGATTGTTTTTTTGGGGGTTGCATTGGCTTAATTTGAGCTGGTTTTTGTGAGAGCAGTTTTAGTCCAGGGAGATGGGTTTTCTCCTCAGATGTAAAGATTTAATTAATGTCTAAATCCTTTATATAATTAGAATTAGTTTGGTGCTTCATTAGGAAGCCACTAAAGTACTTGAGTTTTGATATTATGGACCATCCAGATCTGTGAAAGGTTACATGATAGGAAGCAATTTTACAAGACATCGGATTGTTATTTCTTCGCTGTGCATCCAAGGAACAATATATTGAAAGCAATTGAAGAAAGAAGCTAGGCTACACAAGTTGTTTCACAGATCTGTATGGTTAAAAATTTCACAGGTCATTATTTTAATGGCTTTCCTTTGACATTAATATTGATAGCTAATTGAACTGCTCTCACATTGAATATGTTCAAACCATGTCTAAAAGCTAACGCTGTTTTTTCCGAAGAGCCTTGCCCTCTTCACCCTGGAGGGATGATCCGTGGCCAAGCCGTAGGGCCGTATGACAGATGACTCGTAGTAAAGGTGGTTGTGCAACCCCGTGCTTTGTGGTGGCCAACCCGATGAAACTAGGGCAGGGCATCGCTCACGTTTCCCTTGGGGACCAAGCCTGGACAAAGATGATGCGAAAGGTTACCACCCCCCGCCCGCGCGGTTGCGGTTCTGGTGCATCGTTGGCCATTGGCATCCTGGTCAGCTTGGCTCGGCTCCTTCCCCCTCTGTGACAACGTGGTCCATTACGTGTGGTGTGCCTTGATCAGACGAGGCTCGCCCACCTGACATTCTGTAAACAGAGCTCACGTGGGCCCCAAGGTAAATGGATACCGACAACATACTGTGCACTGTTTTCCTCTCGCTACATGTCTTTACAGCATGCTTCAAGTGAGATTGGATAGAAAATTTAATGGAGGGATGAGAGCTGGTGTAAAGACTTGATTTGGGATCAGTGTTAACATCTTGTGAAGGGGATGGTGGTTTATACTTTTTGTGCTTGAAATTAGATTACTACATAGTTTTCTGTTCTTTCATTCAATGACAAGTTATAATCCAAAATCTTACTGCACTTGAGTACACAACTTTTCTTGTATCTAGGTTTTGTCAGGATTGTAACCTGGGACAATTCAGTTTTAACATTGCAAAAGTTCTCATGCCTTGCTGAATCTTGGATGAATCTTTTAATAGAAAACACCGTGGGAGAACATTGGACAACCTGAACGTGGAAGGTGCACAGTTCTTGATAGTTCCGAATCCTGGATAAACCTGGCTTTATTAGGAAACAACGTGGGAAATTGAACATCCCAACTTCGTGGATTTTACTGCTGAAAGGTGGACAGAACATGAACAAGATGAAAAATTTGAAGTGGTTCCATTGTACCAAAATGTTGAGCTAAGCCAAAGGGATCATGCTGGATTTAGACATAAAAGGAAGAAATGATCTGGTGTGATGCAGTTGCTGCCTTGAATCATGACTGAAAGAAAACTCAACCCATTGCTGTGCAGAGGTGGTCATCAGTTAAGCTATACTAAGGAAGATTTGGAAATAATGCTGGTAATTTCCACAAGCTGTCATGGCAGGTGCTCCACTGAACAACTGAAATTAATGAATTGCAGTACTATTGAGATTAGCCAAGAAATTCTACAGATGCAAGGGTTTCTACTATACAAACCTCTTATCCAACAAAATGTGAAATTGTGACCTGGCTCTACAGCCCTTTCCAGTTTGATGTATTGGGATGAGAAAGTACAATAAAATCAATGATGATTGATGTCAAATCGAAGAAGAGCTAATGTGTTCTGAATGGGTGGGGGGTGAGATGTGATTCTTAGAACAAAGAAAAGTTGTTACAATGGTGAATACCATTAGGTATTAGTATCTAATTTCGAGCACCAGACTATTTTTTAGGTCATTTAATTTCTGTTAAATACAACTGTTCAACACTTATAGGCAAGTCTTTGTGCATTACTTGTTTCACAGTATTTAGTTTGTATACTAATTTAACATTGTAGATTACAGTAATTTTCAATTATAGTTTTGATCACTCATAAAAGTTACTAATATTGCTCATTGTGATGCTGTGTTATTAGGATCTCAAGGATTACATGCGACAAGCTGGAGAAGTAACATATGCTGATGCACACAAACAACGGAGGAATGAAGGGTGAGAATTGGCCATTTAATTTTTTTTTATTTTGTATGGGTACTTTCCATGTTAGATAGAGGAGGAATTGTAATGCTGCAGGAAAATAATTTTTTTCGTCACAGAAAACTCTTATCCTAGTACTGGAAAAGTGGAAAATTGTTTTATACAATGCAGAAGGCAATTTAGATTGGGCAAAACCTCTTTCACTTAGGTTAGTGGCCAAATGGTCTGAAGGATTGCCACCAATATTAATGGTGGTCAAAAAAGTGCCTCCAATTTTGTATTTTGAAAGGATATTCTCGCAAGTGCAGTTTCTTCTATTTTCTTTGAATTATGAATGAGAATTCAAACAGAAACTTTGAGTTTTTCTCCTACCACTGCAATGATAGAAAATAAGATTTGCCTTCCAATTTTGTACAATTTCAAAATTGTAGTTTTAATTTAATTTTTTCTGATTCAATTAAATGAAATCACCTTAATTATTCCTACAGTAATTATTCAACTTTCATCAAATCCATTACAATGATTATTTACATTACTATTCATTACCATTCTACTAATAGGATTATATCTTGAATGAAATAAAGGTGCTTTACAATGAACCGAATAGGGATTATAGTTAAATATAACATTTGGGTTTCATTCAAAAAGTATTGCTTATTCAATTAATCTCAATTAAGAAGCAATTATGCATTCATTAATAAAATTATTTTTTTCATTTTAATACACTGTGAACGACTATTGCAAACCTGTTCTGATAATCTGATTTAGATCCTGAGTTTCCTTAAATTTTGATTTTCATTATTATTTTGTCATAGTTTATTTGAACTTTCCTATGTAAACCATGGCTTGGTAACTGTTCTGATACAAAATTGCAGCAGATTGGTAGATCAACTTTATTTCTGCTTCCATCATTTAATAAATATAAATGAATAAAACTGTAATTTACTTGGGGTATGTGTGCATGCAAATGAAAATTCTTGGTACGGTTTTTGTAGGGTGGTAGAATTTGCAACTCAATCAGACATGAGGAATGCTATCGACAAGTTGGATGATACAGACTTAAATGGAAGAAGAATAAGACTTATTGAAGATACTCGTAGAGGACGTCATCGATCTCGGTCATCCAGTTCCCGTTCCAGATCAAGGTCACGATCAAGATCTCGACGTCGCAGCAGCAGGACTCGCTCAAGGCAAGTCATTTCTTTGATAGTTTGTAAGAATCAAACTGGTAAAATTTTTGCAGTATAATTCTTCAAACATGTTAATTATAAAATCTGATTAGTAGTTAAATCATTCATGAACTTGTATTAAATTCTTAGTGCTCTTGATTAGGAACTTAATAAAAGGATGATAAAATCTTTCGGGTCTCAACTGCCCATGTAGATACACAAATATTACTGATTTTCCATGTGAATCAACGTAAAAGAAAAAACTGCCTGTGGAGATGCTATAATTTTGATTGTTTTCAGGTCACGAAGTCGTAGTCGTCGAAGCAGTAGATCTCGCAGCCGTCGATCAAGTCGATCGAAGTCTAGAGGCCGATCAAAGTCGGTATCAAGGTCAAAATCACGATCACGCTCAAAATCTAAGTAGGTGCATTTCTTGTTAATCTGCTTGCAAGGAAGTACTAAAACTTTGGTCTTAACACATTACTGTTTTCGTTCTGCAGATCCCGTGAGAGATCAAAGTCCAAATCACGATCTCGTTCACGGTCCAGATCAAGATCTCAGCCAAAGAACAGATCTCAGTCTCGGTCTCAGTCGAAGTCAAAAGTGAAGGATGATTCAAAGTAAGTAAATTCTAGATCCTTGAGTGGAAGTATTGCTTTAGTGTCCAATAAAATTTAGTGATGAGAACAGAGTGACTTGAATCACACTGTAAGTTACCAACGTGTTCTGATTCAATATCTTAGAAACATTTGAAAAGTTTTAAATGTTATGAATTTTAATGCTATTTATTTAATTAGGGATAGGTCACGATCCAGATCACCCAGCAAGGAGCCCAGTAAATCCAAATCGAGGAGCCGATCTAAGTCGCCAGAAAATAAGGATGAGCAAATGTCTCCAAAGAAGGATGATGATTGAAGAAAATGTGTGAATTTGGAATTGCCATCCACTGTGTGTAGTTCAAAAGTGTGTCTGAAGACTACTAAATCTTCCTAAATTGATCTTGGTGAATGAGGACTTAGTTGGTATAATGAAATGTTTTGCCACTTGGACTGCAAGAATTTCATAGGCTGGATGCTGAAGACAGGAGCTGGCCTAACTTGCCTGGCAATCCTCGGTCACCGCAATACTTGTGAATATTTTGTGCAACATAGTTCTGTATTTCTAGTTTTTGTTCCTGTTTTGTTATATTACTTTCAATTGCATTTGAATTAGATTTACTGTTTTCAATGGAGCATGGCTGGTTGACTGGGTCCATTAACAAGAATGAGTGGTTTTGGGAATTCATTTGAAATTCCAAGGTATTTAAAGTTGTACAGATGTAGAAGTAGATCTTTAATTGCTGATTTGTATTTTGTTTTCATAATTTTGTCACCACTGGTGACTTACCTGCAGAATATGCATGTCAATTTTTTTAGTACCTGGAATAAATTTTACCAAAAGAATTTCCAGCATTTCTGTTTCATTATTATCTAAAACTTTTATCCAGTGTATTTCCCCCTTCAAATAGTGCAAGAGCACAAAAACTATGGGGTTTCTAAAAAAAATTAATGGAGGTCGATGAGGATGCGGTTGTAGTGAATTTTGAAGATGGGCACTCAACATACATCATGTACTACTTTCCAAAAAAAAACCTACCAGTGTGTGGGTATCTCATCCGTTCAGAGGATGGCCAATAGGAATTATAGTGTGTGTGTACCTTAGAGCCCCTGCACTTAACATTGTGCAGCATGTGTCAATGCAATTCTAGAATAACACCTTATGTGAAATGGCATACAAAATGCTTTGGCTACACACATTACTTATGGTTTGAACATGTCACACAAGTGTTAAGGATCCTAATTCTTGAGGGTATTCAACTTGATTTAGGCTTGTTATAATTGAAATCGCTTCCCCCTCAAATATATGTACTTGAAATGGATTTGCATTAAAATTGTCTTGCAAAGCAATCTTTTCCAACCCCTATCTATATGGAGCAGTTTTGATGGAAAGTTGAGAGGTCACTGGCTCTGGAGGATAAGTCTGCCTAGGCATCTGGACCAAACTCTTTCAGGATTTTCTACACTAACACTCATTAGTTATTTCAACTCCAAATTTTCAAAAATTTTAAAACAAAATTTCTCTGGGCGACTGTTACACTGCAAATAGGTCATTGTTCGGTGGAATGGTTGGTGTGTACACATGGAATGAGCAAGTGAATGGACAAAACAGTAAACTTGTAATATTTTTATAACAATAGGAACCTAAACATCTCACTATATCAAATTTATATTTGTAACAAATTTTATATTATAATGAAATATGTTGGTTCAAGACTTGTAGGAACTTCTATTTTAGTGGTTGACACTTCTTGGAGATATTTAATCCCAAGTTCTAAAAGGCTCTTAGTTCTTGCTTGGGACTTACATCGTATTTTATTTTCTACGTTACTGACTTATCTGTGCAGTTAAAAGAACCAAACCTTTAATGACTTATCACTATTATCAAGCACATTTTGTAGAATACTATCGAGACACCTGCTTTGTATCCTTTTGGCTTTGTTTTCCAGGTGTTCCCTTCAGTTCTGCACAATACTTTCCTAATATTTGAAATGTATGAAAAAAAAAACCAACAAATGCATGTTTTTGGTGATCATCCCCACCGTTTGCAATTTTGCTGCTTTCATTCAGTTTTATGCCATGAACAATAAATACGGCCAGTTCAGAAGGAAAAAACCTGAATCGTTCCCCTGACATGATATGGGTAGTTTGTAAAATAAATCTTGTCAGAAAAATGTTTCGTGTGAATTTAAAGAGATTACTTTGTTTTGGGTTTTTTTTTTTTATCTCTCAGACCTCTTAAATGTTTGAAAATTATTAAACGAGACACTAAAAAATGTGTTTGACCACAACCATTTGGAGTCCGAAATGCCCTCCTATGCATGAAAAGAATGTTCGAGACTGGAACAAGTTGAGTTTGCATGTATTCAGCAACCAAAATGATACACACTTAAACTTTTTTAACTCTTGAAATATATGAATCACAAGCTAAAGGATCGGGTGAGTTCCAAGGAGTCGAATTGATGCCTCACGAGCGTCCCATGTTCAGGGTTACTTGATTACCCGTATTAGTAAATCATCTATCAATTATAATGCTTTTAAATGTTGTTTAGTTAGAAATTAAACAGTTTCATGCCTAAAATCATGAGTCATATAACACTCCAATTAACTCTCAAAAAGAAAGAGTATTTCCTGTTTATTATACACACGACAAATGGAACTCAAATTTCAAAATATAAAACAAAACCTAAGCAGCTACAATAATATATGTGAGCAAAACAGATTATCAATATTAAAACTGCACACTGGGGTCTACTAGACCCCATCAAAGAAAGCCGCAGAGTGCTTTACGTAAATTTGAATTTCTACATTTGGTTACCCTCATTCTATTAGCAGTCAGCTGGTATCAATACTTCGCCGAAAATAGAAGGTAATTCGTCGGTAAACTAGGGTCTATTGAAACCCCGTGTGTAGCTTCTAATTGTTCCGCAAATAATAAAATAGAAGTGCAATTCATTCTATAATGTTTTTCCGATGGGACATTGAGAATTCACATTCTTGTTCCACCTGATTGTTGTGTGATGATTTCAAAGTATATCCGTAATTTAAAAAAACGTGTGTAAAAATCTGGCAAAAAATTAAAAGTTAAAACTACTAGTGCTACAGAATGGCACACACTTTCCCGCATTAGTTTTCCATTTCCTTTGGTTTCAGCTAGCTATTCAGACTTACCACATACTCCTTCCAGTTACCATCTATTGCCACATAAAGTACATTTTTTAAAAATGTTCTTAATTTTTCGGCTTTCTAAAAGTAAATCAAATTATTACTTTAAAAATATTAAAGAACAGTAAAACCTCGTCCTAAATGGCAACTTTCAATGAGAAATCTGGACCTGATTTCAAGAAAATGGCATTTAACCACTACTGTAAATTCAAAATTTGAACCTCTTTCACCAAAAGCATGAATTTTCGAAAAACTTCATATGACGTCATTCCAAGCATTTTTAGTCAAAAGTCAAATAGTGTTTATAAATTGCTGGAAATGTGCAGATTAAAAGCGTGAGAAATATTTTAAAAAGTAAGTTAAGTTTTAAGTAATTTGTGAAAAAACAAATAAATTGAGTAAAATTAATTCTATTTCATCTTAAACACTGCAATTCGCACTATCCGTTTGAGGAAAAAATTTGGAGCCGTTCTGAAAATGCAGAATTTTGAGCTCGTTTTCATGGAAAACTTTATTGTCATTATTTAAAGTACATGTATTCATGAATACATAAATGTAAAGAAATTACCGCTAATGTAAATATTAACGACGTGAGAGACAAGTTAAAAAAATTGCATTTTTGTATTTTTTGGAAAAAACAAAAGAATAGAGCAATAAATGTCATCTTGCATTGGGTGCATTTATCACAATTTCAACCAAAAAGTTAAAGAAAAAAATTGGAGCCGTTTTTTGAGAAAATTTTGTTTTTATATTTTTTTAAAAATTGCACATATTACTCGCAATAATGCGCGAAAAGTACTAAAATTCAAAATAAATTTGTTTATGACCTTAAAAAGTAAACTTGCTATGGAGAACAAATTTTATTTGAAGAAAAAAATCTGTCTTGCATTTTGTAGCTGTAAGAAGACGCCCAAAATATTGAAATTTTTGAATATTCAGAGTTAAACCTACAAATCTGTTATATGCCACCTTTATAAGTATACTTTACTGTATTCTTGCAGGAAATTGAAAGTACAGAATAGGAGTCGTTTTTGAGAAAATTTTGAAAATGTCTGGAGTGCTTTATGTAAAGTACCTCCAAATTTTAAAGATTTTTTTTTTCAAAATCTTAAAGATTCGGCTCGATCCAGATCGACGCGGGTTTCTTCAATTTGAAGAAAATCCTACGCATGGTTTACGCGCTAGTAGTGTTCACAGACACTGAACGGACGGACATACGGAAACAGTTTTGAAAGAACAACACTTTTTTGGTATTAGGAGACCCCCAAAACGTGTATTTAAATGAAATTACAAAATCGATTTTCCTTAGTATTACAGAATTTCCCTTATACTACGTATATCACTTTGTATATACGTACGTATAGGGTAAAGTAAAAATCAATACATTTTACATTTGTTTTTTCCCTTATTTTCAATAAAAATAATATCCAATAACACAATTCTGAATCGTGTATATACAATTTTCTGAATCTTTAGTAAAAATAAAACTCTGGGGTCCATGAGACTCTAGTGTGCAGTTTATATAACATAAAATAAGTGTCCAATTTCAGGGTTAAAAAGTAAATTGTTTAATACAAGCATACTGCTTTTTGTATTTTAATAAAATTAATATTATTTAAACAAACAATTGAAATTAATTTTTATAAACTGTAATATTAATTTTTTATACAAAATACTTTGAAAGTTATTTTGAAAATCTGTGTTTTTCGTATATTTGAGTTGCAAAAATAGATTATGTATGTCTTTAAGCGATACAAAAAATATTGTAAATACTTTTAAATGATTAAAATAATTTTTAATTGAATATCTTATTTTAATAATAATAATTTATATATTATATAATTTAATAATAATTCATTCTAATATTTGTACACATCGTCGGCAAACCGTCAACTTTAGGCAGTTGTCCATGTAGTAAAACGATTTTCTTTAACGAATCTTCAAAAAAATAAATTTGTCAATGCTGGAAAACACGGATTCACCAAAAAAAAGGATTAACTTTTCTGTAGTTCTAGCGTGAACATGCAGTGTGTTAGAGACCAAAAATTGCGCGTTTATAGTTTTCGAAAAATTGACAAAGTGAAAATATATGAATAATAATTGTAGTTGTAGGACGAAACCTAAAAACTTTGATTTTTTCAATTGTTGAAAATTCAGGATTTTCAAATAACAGGGTTTTGAGAAAAAATGTTTAAACACAAATTCAAAATTGTCAATATTTCACGCGTCATCACGCAAAAAATTCTCAAATTTTCGACAAATTGTACATGACCTTATTTCCAAATCTGTCTTTAAGGAATAGATTTCATTAAGGGGAAAAATCTCTATTTTTAATATTTTAGTTCGGAAGATGCCGAAAACTATTTTCAATTTTTGAAAAGTTTTCAACCTACATGATACCTGCGCCATTCTCTTCAACGTCCTTCAAACTATTGAACAACAAAATTTAATCAAAATCGATGGCGCTATTTTTTGAAAATGTTCCAAGGGCTTCATCTCAAGGACCCCTCAAAAGTAAAATATCAGTTTGAAATTCAAGGAGCCGCGACATCAGCCAAATCGATTATGGAATATCAATATTGGAGAAAATCGGCTGAACGGTTTAGCCGCTAGCATTGTTCACAGACGGACGGCCAAGTTTTGCCGTCAATCGATTTTGCGGTATCAAGGACCCACAAAACGGGGATTCTGGCTTCACCACGTGTTAGATTTTTTTCTCTAAATTTAGCATCTGCAATTATCCACCTTTCCGTTACCAGGGCCCAGTGATAAAGAATGTTTCTGCCGGAAATTCGCCGTTTTTTCACGAAGTATTACATAACTGTCTCTTCGTTAGAAGTTCCTTCTTAAGCACGAAAAAGTAAAATAGGTAATTAAAATGATTCACATTATTTTTCTAACACAAAAATTTCCATTAACACTTGTAACAAGGGAGGAAATGATTTTTTCTTTGTAATCTTGATTGCACATGACTGACCAGTATGATGACTAAGAAAATGTTTTACTTGCTGTCTCTACTTCTCATGCTTTTAACTGCTGTCTCATGCTTTTAAATGCTGTCTCTACGAAATGCATTATGGACTCCCTTTTGAATCTTCATATGGCATCCGTGACAACACAATTATAGTTTTTCTTCACACTTATGAAACCCCACCACTGGGAAGGGCATACCATATACAGAGAACTCTTCTCAAAAGGGATTGGAAGTCATACTCAAAAATAAGATGGGATTCCTCATGAGCAACCTGGCCCTCAAGTCTCTGCTTCTACAAAGACAAAACATGACTATTCCTCTGTTGTTCAGGCTTACAGGTTTGTTTCCAGTTTGATCAAGATTAGTTCCAGGAGAAAAAAGGAAAATAATGGTGAAAATAGCAAAATTCAAAAAACAAACATCAGAAGTTAAAAATATGCAAAATGAAAATCTAAAACATCTCCATAAATACAAATGTGTTTCCTATTGTTAGAAGCCATAAAACTACCAATAACAAAAAAGTAATTTGGCAAACCTCCAGGCTCCAGCCGTTATATACATTGCTTAAACTTTTGCTCTCTTAACTGGAAATGCATCTCAAATTGAGTATATTTGGAACTGTTAGTACAAATACCATCCCATGCTATGTTATATCATTTCTTTTGAAATGTCAGCAGGCATATTTCAAATAAACCCATATAGTGAAACAAATGAAGGTAAGATGTGAGTAAAGATTTGATTTACAAAGGACAGACTAGAACAGAAAAAGAAAAAAACTCGACTGTTTTATATTAGAGATCAACTCCTACTTGTACATATTTTGACTTGTACACACAGTTCCTTTGATTTCATGAGTTATAGTAACTTTAATTTGATAAATGAAGTTGCATATTTCAGGGACAATTTCGGATTTAGTAAAAAATACACACACAAATTAATTAGAAACATTCTTATTTCAAGGTCTATACAAGGGTTAAATTCAATAAATATTTAACCCGATTAAATTATGCATTTCTAGACAATAAATTCTTTTTATAGCATTCAAGGCTACAAAGTGGTACACCAGTTCGAGAACAGCTATATTTCTTCAGATTGGAACAGCCATCCACACCACATTTCTTATTATGAATTGTTTTCCTGAAAGTACATATTTGTATTTAATTGGAGATTCATTATAATGCACATGAATGTAAAGATGTACATTTTGCTAACACTTTATATTCTAATTTCTTAATTGAAACAAATGTAGTACTCATTTAGGAAGGAGAGGGAAGGACAAATGGGGAGAGATGTTACACATTAAAATATAATAAATTATTTATGTCATACTTTTTTGTGATGTTATTTACATATTCATATAGTTTGTTACTAAAATAAATAAATATCAATCATTAATCACAGCAGTGATATAAGTAATGTTTTATTATATTGCAAATTAGATCTCTCTATTAATTAATGAAATTAATTAATATGTACATGTTTTGAATTATAACACATTGTGTCTTGATTTGGAAAACACAATGAAGATGATCAAATAAATACAATACTAATTTAGAGCATGGGAGCTTGTGTTGATGACATAAATGTCTTTATTGGGTATATTATTTCTTTAGTGTATCTTAAAGAAAAAGATGCCAAGAAGGATGTCCAGGATTTAACAAAAATGAGTTGTCAATCACTTTCAGAGGGCACAATGTAATGAAATCAGAACATACACAGAAATGAAATTGAAGCAAGTTTCAAATAATGTCAATATTCATTATATAACCATTTCAGTCAGACTAAATCTCCTTAGATATTTTAATTTTGATAATCATTAACGTGTTTACTTTTAGATGGAGATGTGTTGCTAATAATGTACTCATATAATTGTCTTTATGTTTCACGTAAATTATGTAATTGTATTTTATTACATTTTAAATTTACTATTCAGAAACAGGACCTTCTCAGTTAAGATGGCCACCTTAATATTGCATGTTCGTGTAAATCAACATTGGGGAGACAAAATTATAATTTTGCAGTCCCTTTAATTTGAATTGTTATTTATGATATACATAATTTGACCAAATGGTTTCTAATTGTATTTTTACAATTAAAACTTTATTTTGATTATGTTGCATCAATTGACTTTTTTGTTCTTTTTTCCACAACAAATATGAATAAGAAGAAAATGTCAAACTTTGAAAAAAAAAAAATGTCGATTCTACATTTTGTATGTATCTGTTTCAAACAATGATCTCAAGACACTGCAGCATTTAAATTATTAAATGAATCTCACTTACTCTGAAAGTTGTTGTGGCATCAAAGGGAAGTCCATTCCAGAGGGAAGAGAGATAGTGATTTGGTCACTGCTATTTCTGTAGCTAATATGTGGTACTTGTTTCCTTAATGATCTTGATTTGCAACCTTTTCCACCTTTTGACTCTTGCTTTTTCAAAAGACGTTCCATAGTTTTTTTCTATTTGAAATGAAAGTAATGAAGAGTAAATTTGATAAACTAATAACAATAAAGTTAAACAAAAGTAAATTTAATTTCAGTCAAGCTATACCTCTGATTATACAAACCTTGTCTTTCTCTCTTTTTTCATCTGCTAATTGCTTTCTTTTCTGCGACTTTAAAGCAGCTTTCTGCAGTGCTTCAGCAGTCATTACTTTTTCTTTGTAACCTAAAATTTAATCCTTTAATGCTTTAACAATCTGAAAACTTTTTCCAGTGACAGTTTCAGTAAATACTTCTCACAAACTCACCAGAAGGAAGAGACATTAATTGTTCTCCCCCAGGACTAGGTTCTTTATCGGTTTTTCGTTCAAACATTGCTCTTTGTCTTGCAGTCATCAACTTCGGATCTTTTGGCTTAATTTTCTTTAACTCATCGTCAACCTAATGATAATTTATTCAGATTTTAATCACTTGTTAAAAAAAAAACAGAAAACTAACACAAGGATTTAAAAAGAAATTTTCAATGGAGCAAAAGAAACGGGGGTGGGGGAGAAAGAAAAAGAAGAAACAAACAAAAATGTCAACATAATAGAGGTTCATCCAGAAAATAATTAGGAGATAGTGTTAGAAAAGTTGAAATTTGACTTAGCACACTTATCTGTTGAAATCCTGAATGAAGCTTCAGCAGTCACATGCACTAATACCTCTTAGGATATAGGATGTCAACATGTTCTTGCAATATGTTATTTACAATAAATGATTAGATGTCTGGCATAGAGATGTTTAAGAACAAGAGACGCTAGACAGTAATGTTCCACATAATGAGCAATCGTTAGCTACTTTTTTCCTGTACAATTTTCACAATATTACTGAAACATTAAAAGTGCTACTTTTGCCAATCATGAGCAATCAGTGCTCACATACAGCTATTAGCTTTTTTATTTGGTAGTTTTCCGCTTGCAATATACATTGTCATTGAAAATACATTAGTGGTTGTCAATTAAAATGAATTTCTATTCCATATGATATATAAAATTAAAATGAAATTGGTATTCTACTAAAGAAATAAGAATTGAAGAGCAAATTTTGGTTAAACTTTAATAGAATTAAGCATAAGAAAACAATGTCCTGACTAGAAAAATTAAGACGATTACATCATTTAAGTTCCTTGATTTAGTGTAATATGAACAACAATGCAAAGAAAAAGTTAAAATTAATTAATCGTTCTCTAATTTAATACAATGTTAAGGTAAACAATGATTCTGAATTATTGAAAATAATGGGTCAGTATATTACAAGGTAAAATAAAATATTTTTTTCTCGAAAATGTCTTCAATGTATTTTTGTAGGAGAAAGTACAGCAACTCTTCATTTGTACCATTTTACAAAAATTATCTCAGAAGACAAGTCTTAAAAATTAAATGTACCTCTTCCAGCTTTCCAGATTCTATAGCATCTAACCACCGTTCTTCTTCACTAGATGTACCACTGTCTTTTCCTTTTCCCTTCTTCTTTTTAATCTTTGGAGATGAATTGACAGTTGCACTTTTCTCTCCTACCTTGACAGGACTTGATTTTTCTTTTATTTTCTCGGGAGACAAGGAAGATCCACTTCTAAACATTTTTGATAATGCTCTACAACAATACAGAATTAATGTAATGTTGTCTCGTAATACATTAAAAATTAATTCCATTAAAATAGAAATAGAAACTTACGCTTTATCACTGGCTTCCTTCCCAAATTTAATTTTCAATTTAAGGGAAGGTTTAGTTGGATCACAGTCATCGAATGAAAGATCTTGTGATCCTTCACTTTCTTCCAGTAGTTTCTTTCTTTTGTGTTTCTTGTGTTTGTGCCTTTTATGTCGCTTTTGAGGGGAAACTTCGCTTCCATCTGCAGCAATACACATTTTTATATTGGAAAAAAACGATGCATGCCGCAAAACACAATAAAAAAAGTCCATTTACTTTTATACCCTTCAAAAGCTGCACATTAACTAAAATTGCGACAAACAACACTTATTCACTATTTCTCAATGAACTAATCAAGATTTTCAAGATTTATGTAAGTTAATTGACTCCTCTTATTTATACTATTTTGATTAGCTAGCTCTTACACTATGCAAAATATAATCACCGTTTACACTGGAAAAGTCAATTATTGAAAATAAGAAAACACTACAACGTACACATTACGTTTAACACATAGTTGTAAAAATTAACTAATTACCAGCGGTTTCGTCGTCGGTCGATGTATCTTTTCCATTTTTTCGTTTACCCATTGTTTCAAGTAACCTCAGGATACCTAAAGTATAACTGGGAGGTATTCATGTATCAACGCAGAACTAACCAAACACATTTGGAGATTGACATTACTTGGAGCGTTCGAAGTACAGAAAGATATATGTGTTACAACAGAAAGGAACACATTTCAGACATATGCCCACTACAGAAAGCAGAATTCACCAATCCCTTGGTTGTTATTAGATAAGATCAGGATTCTTGATTCAGGAACCAGAAAATGCGCGCGCCTTCCATCCCAGGGCATTATTATTCTCTGATGGGCGCTGATGGGGAGTCCCGTGAAGAAAAGAATACTCTTTGGTCCCGTTTGTGCTGCGCAGAGAGTATATGTGAATATTTGTATCGAGCTACTTAATAGCTTGATTTCGTAATTTACGTTTTATTAAATTCACAAATAGAGATTAGAGGATAAAACATTGAAGTTTACTATATAATATTTTAGGAGTACATAATAAGTATTAAAAAATAAAAGGAATGGTAAGCTTCACATTGAGACTGACTATAAAGATAAAATATGGTTTACTGAAATGGTTTATACGTTTTCTTGAGCCCCGGAATATCTACCCCCCACTCCTTTGACAACATTGGTTGAAAGAATAATAATTGAGGAAACGAGCGTTGTAGACAATCTGATAACTAGAAATGTTCGCTCCCCAAATAATAAAGCTATTTGCATCAAAAACGAAATACAAATATGACATGAAATTATTTATGTCTAAGTATCCTCATTCCCCAGTCCTCTCGCAACTAGCGAAATAAGGGCTCAAGGAAACGTGCGCAGTTTTTTAAGACAAAAATATCAGTAACGTGCAATAAAACAAGAAATTCAGGACAACTCGAACCAGAGGATACTTAAGTTCTTTTTTATGTATCTTTGTAGCCTTCTTAATGATTCCAATACATTCTTTCCTTTTTTATGCACATTTCTTCAATACTTGATTCTTCTCAGATCTTCATTCACCTATTTTCTGTTTATTCTTCCATTGTTCTTGTTAAAGAGGGGTTTCAGCTGTAAAATATTTTGAGGACTTACTCAAGAGATACTATGTTAATGTAATTCACTTAGCATTTATCTCTCTGACAATATTTTTAAATTTATTTAATTAGTCCATCTTGTAACCTTTTTCTTCCCCACAAAATCTTACCAATTCTAAAGGGGACAATATTTTTTTATTATTTAAAACACTAATAGAACTTATAAGTTTAATGCAGTAGTTTTATTATTAGTATTATTTTTAGTTTGGAAAGTTTCAACATTTGTTTATAAGCTAAGAGTAATTTACAATGAATATAAACAGGCATATTTAGGGAAGCATTAAACAACAATTATTCAAGTTTTTTAAGTGTACATTGGGAACCTATTCACCCCAGAATTATAAAATTTGGAGATGAAAATATTGTCTGCATGTGGTATCATTGAGAGTGTGAGTTCTAAAAGAGGATGCAATTATTTAAGTTAAATTTGACTTAATGAAGGATTGACTAAGGGATTAAATAAAACTAGCAGGACCTGTGCAGAAGCTCCACGCTTTGTAAATAATTGTTTTAAAAGGGATATTGACTTTATAATAGGACCCAACTGAGAATGGCCAGCCCTTGAACTGTGTGTGACAGCATTATAATGTGGCCCAGAACTGTGCAAAAGTAATTGTTATCTTGGTGTTCATGGGTATTGGTCTAAAATCATGAAAATGTTATGTCAGTTTGCCAAAATTTTCGAGTTTTTTTTTCCATCATCAGGGCTAAATACATCAACAACACAGTTAGATGTAGAATGTAGAGCAGGAAGGATTAGAATGTATCACACTAATTATTAACAATAATTATGGCAGCACACACTTATCATCCACAACTTTTTTTTTTTTTTTTTAAATGTCTACATACATTGAAATTATAATAGAAAAATACCTTACTTGGGTGAAGAGTATTGTACAAACTAGTAATACACTTCACAACCCAGAGAGAAAGTAATAAATTGCTCTGAAAATTAATCAGTACTTTCAATTTTTTTATGAAAAATTATTTCTGTCTTTTTCCTTCAATTTAATTTTAGATTCTGATATATTTCACATTTCTCCACTTTTCTGATTACCCAAGCCATGGAAGGGGAGTCCCCCCAACAACATCTTCAAAAATGTGATAAAAAGTTAAAGTTTTCATTTTGTAGAATAAGACTTAAAGAGCTTTTCTTGGGCCCAAATTGTCCCCAACCTCCTTCCCTTCATTTACTCACAAAACCTGTGGTCTTTTGGGACATAAACGCCTGGTTTTAAAGACCTAGAGAATACATTTCCATGCTCTGTGCAATTACAATGCATGTTGCAGTAATCTGTGTCAAATTTTACAGACAGGAATACTTCTTGACTTAATTGCATAGGATGCTGGACTGGGAAGTAATATCATATACAGCAGTTTCACACATATGGTTTCTTGTTGACAATTTCTTATAAAATAAACAGTAATCTCACCTTAGCATATGATATACAGGATTAGTGACCATAAAAAAATTGTTAATGGTACATTAATGCACGAGTTGGTAAATAAATTAACAATTAAATAGTGGCACTTCATGGAGAGGATACACTCAAATGACAATGAGAATTTTTTGGGGAAATAATTTGTAAGTCACATAAATGATTATCAGTGATATTAGAAATAAAAACTTCAGAGCAAAAGAATAAAGAATGAATAATTGAAAATGTGTTCTTTAATAAAAAACATTATTTATTTAAACAAAGAAGTGAAAGTGTGACTAGGACATAAAATTTCATATGTTTCAGTTCAGAATTATTTTTTCATAGATGTATGTTTGCAATAATTATAGAACTTAAAATACATTCCTTAAAAATTTGTTCCATTATTATTACAACACTCACTATAGATATTTGTATAGCTTGAAACTCTGCAATGCCATTCAATAAGTCCATTTCAAACAATGCTCATAAATAAATAGACAAAATAATGGTAATTTTCAGGCTATGAAAGGAGAGGTGTATGTGAAAGATTTGGAAGGCATTATTTATTTGCAGTACTACATACCATTATTGCACCTTTAAAATAGGCATATGAAGTGAATGTCTTTTTATTGAAGATACTTAAAATATTCAAATAATTATTTTTCTTTGTGTTGCATGTGTTAATATATGGTTTTATTTTTTACAATTAAGATTAAAAGTTTCTCACTCCATAAAATGATAGTTAAGTAATAATTTCTCACTCCGTTAAGTGAACATAATTAGTTTTGCAGATGTAACAATGGTATACCTTTGTTGCTACCAAATCACTGTCTCTTTTCTATAAATAGAATTAAGATAACATCTATTCCAAGAACTAATCTATTGCATTTCTGAGAACATAAATTTATTCTCAGTATTCTACGTTTATCCATGCCAATCATACTGATATATAAGGTTAGTACATTGTCTGAGATGAAATATAAACAAACAGACATACAATATAAAAAAATATATTTTACAATATAAACCTCAGCGGCACATTTCGACCCTGCATGGATTTTCCTCAGGTACGTATAAAACACTTAAATAAGTGTGGGTCATTATCAACAATGAAGGGAAAAAACTAATATGTAACATATACATAACATTACATAATATGGATGTTTTACTTTTTATTTTAAGAATAAAAATGTTACGTCTGTTTAATTGGCCTACGTATATTCATATAATATTAAAACACTTCTTTTTTATTGAAGAAAAAGCAGAATTAAGAAAAATTTATGTATATTTTTCAACTGCCAGGGTCATAAGTGACCAAAAAAAATACACATTTCCTTTATTTACATCACTCTATACAAAAATACATTTCATTTTACATAACCTGGAAACAGGAAAAGGGAAAGCATGAACAATTACATTTTGTAATTCCTAAATTAATTTGTAAGTAGAGGTTGTACATACAAAATAAAAAAAAAAAAAGGTGCAATGAAGAGTTGAAGGACTTACTTATGTTCATCTACACTTTTAAAAGTTAGGTATATAATGCCTGCGAGGTTGGGAGATATTTTTTTATTTAAAAATCCAGGACATTAAGGGAATAATGTGGGAAGAGAATACATGTGATCTACAATTTCAGAAGGGTGTTTGTTTATTCATAAAATGTCAGTGGCCTACATGTAAGAGACCTACATGCAACCTTATAAGTAGAACTTATTTTATAACCATGTGAATAATTTAGTGATTTATATGTTCTTAAATTTCGTCCATCTTGGATTCGGTACATGTGTGAATGAATTGTTTGAAGGGCAGTACTAGTTTGATAATTCCTCTTTCATTGAAGAACCCTCTTCAAGATTCCTTTTTTGTAACTGCTGCACAAACTTTCCCAATTCTGGCAATGTGAAGGATAAAGGTAGGCCTAATTCATCTCTAATAACAGGTATAACAAGATTTGAGAAGACATTAACATTAAATTTTATTACTTACAAATTGAGCATCTTTACAAACACATTGAAGCATTTTACTGCACATTAGTGAGAACTGTCTAAATTAAGAGACTGTAAAACAAATTTTTTATCAATTCCATCTTTTGACACCTGGAAAGTTTGAACTCCGAGTCGCTGCACAGCTTTAATGTTACGTTCATCATCATCAAAAAATACCATAGTTTCATAAGGGAATCCCGTTTTTCGGTGTAATTCTTTGAAATGCATTATTTTAGAAGTAGGATAAATCTCTTTATATGTGAAAAATGAGTTCAAATTGAAAAGTTCTAATAACTGATATGCTCCCATTATATCTTCTATTCGTGATGCAACTCCTAGTACAAAACCACGTGAAATAAGATCGTGAAGAATATCGAATACTTGAGGAAATGTAGAAACTAGTTTACCACTTGCGTCTTCCACTGTATTTTTTTCTGTTCGTCGAAATGGGTTTGTCGTATCTTTGTCAACTTGAAATGGCCAAAGTGTGCGATCTAAATCAAAAACTATGATTTTCGGAGTTTTTGATGAAATGTCCATTTTAGTACAACAATGATTAGACCATTCCCTATCACAGTGTCTACGAAATTGTGAAAATTTTATCAATTTAGCGCGAAAACGTGACAATAACCGCCAACACTGCATCAAAGGCACGCAAAATATTACTGTTTACATACACTGGGAACAAACCTAACTCAACCTGAACCCACGCCACCTTGTTGCCCAGATGGCATTTCCCTGAACACAGCCTTCAGTGTAACCAACATACACGTAAACAATCATCAGCGGTCGTGTCAGTGGATAAATATAATCGATAAATAATCTACACGTAGGCCCATACTCTTTGCCAGCGCTTTCTAGAAAGCAAGATGGTGTTGCTCTTTGCGTTGGTTACTCATTCCTGTATTCTTCCATGACTAGCTTTGTAGCAGAGAACTCTATTACAGATAGAGTTCACAACTATGGAGCTTTATATAGTTGATATGACTGGTGTAAAGCGATTTCAATAATGACGTCACATTTGGCGGGAAAGTGTTAGGTGGCAACGTTTGATGTGTGCCACGGCATAAGATATATTTCTTTTGGTGTGCGCATAAGAGTTTACTGGAGAATTATACTAGGATTTATTAAACTATGCACTTGACGTAAATCAGCTGTTCATTATTTTATCCAATCGGTAGCTTGAACGTGTGCGTAGTGACGTCATATATTTACGTACGTATATTCGGAGTAATATACTTAGTATAGGAAAAGTTATGTAATGCTACGGAAAATCGATTTCGAGATTCCAACGGAAATACAAATTTTGGAGTCCGCATGTACCGATTTTTTTTCCACTCTTTCAGAACGTTGTTCTGTCCGTTCGTCTGTCCATTTGGTGTCTGTGAACACTATTAGCGCCTAAACCATGCGTAGGATTTCTCCAAATTGAAGTAACCCTTGGCACGAGATGAATATTTGAAAATAAATCTTTAAGATTTTAGGGTACTTTACGTGAAGCCCCACGGAAATTTTCAATTTTTTCTCAAAAATGGCTACAAATTCTTTTTATAAATTTCTTGTAAGAGTAGAGTACACGTAAAAAAGTGGCATAGGTCCGAATTTCAGGTTAAACTCTGAATTTTCGAATATTTCAAAATATCAACTTTTTTTAAGTATAATCTTACTTTTGATTGGGATAGTGCTCAATGTACTCTATAAGATAACATAAACGTCATATTGCTCTATTCCTTTGTTTATTGAAAAATTACAAAAATTTACGTCTCTCACGGCAATAATATTTACATTAGCGGCTATACGGTCACATTATATTTAGGAGTACATGTGCTTTAAATAATGTCATAAAACGTTTGTTTCTTTGTTTATTTAGTTAGTTAGTGGTTTGGTTTCGTCTGGTTTGGTTCGGTTTGTGCGTTCGTGCGTTCGTTCGTTCGGTCGGTCGGTTGGTTTGTTGGTTTGGTTTGTTTGTTTGTTGGTTTGGTCGTTGGATCGTTTGTTTGTTAGTTCGTTCGTTCACATGTTTGTTTGTTAGTTCGTTCGTTCACTTGTTTATTTGTTTGTTCGTTCGTTTGTTTGTTCGTTCGTTCGCTTGTTCGTTTCGTTTGTTCGTTTGATCGTTTGTTCGCTTGTTCGTTTCGTTTGTTCGTTCGTTTGTTCGTTCGTTTGTTCGCTAGTTCGTTCGCTTCTTCGTTCGTTCATTTGTTCCTTCGTTTGTTCGTTCGTTTGTTCGTTCATTTGTTCGTTCGTTTGTTCGTTCGTATGTTCGTTCGTTTGTTTGTTCGTTTATTCGTTTGTTCGTTCGTTTGTCCGTTTGTTAGTTCGTTCGTTCGTTCTTTTGTTCGTTTGTTCGTTCATTTGTTTCTTCGTATGTTCGTTGGTTCGTTTGTTCGTTCGTTTGTTTGTTCGTTTGTTTGTTTGTTCTCTTGTTCCTTTGTTTGTTTATTCGTGTGATCGTTTGTTTGTTCGTTTGTTTGTTCGTTCGTTTGTTCGTTCGTTTGTTCGTTCGTTTGTTCGTTCGTTTGTTCGTTCGTTTGTTCGTTTGTTTATTGTTTGTTTGTTCGTTTGTTCGTTTGTTCGTTTGTTTTTTTTTTGAGATTTTTCGTTCGTTCGTTTGTTCCTTCGTTCGTTCATATATTTATTTATTTATTTATGTACGTCAAAAGCAGTTAATATCTGTTTGACGTGCTATGGGGAGAAGTTAATTTTAAGTTACATTTATGTCCAGAAGCAAAACAAGGGGCCATCTCAGCATTTGCTCGAGGATCAGAGACTGGACGAAAACCTGATCGAGATGGGAGTCTTTCACCCAGAAGCTAGACTATACTTGTTACAGGTTCTTTAAATTATACAATCCCAATGGTATAAAATACATTAAATATAATTGTTAAAATAAATATTACTTTCCTTTTGGATGCTCAGTATTGTCTCTGATTGAATTGAAATATTTGTGCAGCAGAAACGATTTTACTTGGGACTTAAATTTTTGTATCGAATTTAATCGTTTAATGTCATCTGGCAAGGTGTAAAATAATGTAAGCGTATTATATGTAATTTTTTTGTAGTGAGCTGTTGATACTGTCACCTGATGAATATGATTACTACATCGAGTGTTCCAGTTATAAGCCACGGCGTTTGCTGAAAATGTATCCCGCCCTTAAGTCATTTTTTACTAAAACCACTGATTCATATATGAAGAGACAAGGTAATGGTAAAATACCTAGATGAATAAAGAGAGGCTTACAAGAATCTCGTGGGTGGGATTTACTTATTATTCGTACAATTTTTTTAAAGTCTAAAAGTCTGGGAACTATAAGATGTATTTCCCAAGAATATTATGCCATATCTCAGGCGGGAATGAACATTCGCGAAATATACACAACGAGCAGTGTGTAGGCTGACTGAATTTGAAAGAATTCTGAAAGCGTAGCATGAAGAACTTAACTTAGTGTTCAATTCATGTAAATGGACGTTCCATTTAAGATTCGATTGAATTGAAAGACCTAAAAATTTTGTTACCTTTACATCAGTGAATGACACACCGGTCATTTTCAGTGCGATGCAGAGCTGTTTATTTGAAATGGAAAACTGCATTGAAACAATTTTATTTTCATTTACTATTAGTTTGTTATTATGGAAATTATTTGGAATATCTGCTATTGTACTATTCACGGTTTCTTTATTGCAAAGAATATTCGTGTCATCCGCAATGAGAACTGTTCTTCCGTTTCTAATCCTCGAGGGCACATCGTTTACGCAGGAAGAGAATTAGGACCTAAAATCGATCCCTGCGGTACTCCACATGCAATTTGAAAAGAATCAGAAAGGTGTGTACATAATGTTCCATTATCCCAGTAAGGTACGAACATAACCAATCTAGAGCAACACCACGAATTCCATACGAAGATAATTTTGAGAGTAAAATGTTATGATTAATGACGTCAAAGGCTTTTGAAAGATTTAAAAATATTCCAATAGGTGCTTTGTTTTGATCCATGGATGACGCGACATCTTTAAGAAAAGAAAATACGGCTGTTTCCGTAGATTTTGATTTTCGAAACCCATGTTGGCAATCTGAAAACGCGCCGTGTTTACTAAGAAATATTTCCATTCGTACGTAAAAAAGTCTCTCTAATATTTTTGAAAAAAAAGAAAAAAAAGAAGACAAAAGAGAAATTGTCGATAATTATGAATTTTATTTTTGTTGCCTTTTTTGAAGAGCGGCTTAATGTTAGCTTGAGCAAATGCTGCGATATACCCTTGTTTTGCTTCTGGACATAAATGTAGCTTCACTATATGCACGTTTTGTTGAACTCTCCGTTTGCTTGGTAGGAGAATTACTTATAAATATACATTTTTCGAAAATTCAGAGAGTTCAATGAAAATTAGACCTGCGCCATTATTTTAAGCGACCATTCCTCTAACTGTGAAAAGCTAGCGGTGCTACCAACGAGCTAGAATATATTATTTAGAGTGTAGTCTGAAGCACCTCCATCTTTGCAGCAGTGTAGCCATGCTTTTCACAGTCAAAGCGGCACCATCCGGAGAAACGGAGTATTCTTGTATTCCGTTTGCCGCTGTTTACAGCCAAGTGGGTGCGGATCGCGCGGAATATAAATCCTCTTACTCGGTGTTACACGAAAAAAAACTAAAAATTTAAAAGGAATTGAGGAACTTTAAAACACGTTGCCACCTGCATCGGTTACTTCATAAGAATTGAAGTAGTTGAAATGTTATTGCAGTTAGCATAACGCCTGAAAGTGAATGAAGGGCAATAAGAAGCAGAGTTGGGGGGTCAGGGTTGCAGGGTCAGGGTTGGGGGATGGATGCAGCGTAGACTAAAGGACGCAAGTGGTAATGGCATCTGTGTGCTT